AAAGTGGCTCACCCCCATTTTTTTTTTTATTATTAGTGATATAAGAAAACCATTTGGAATGCATAATTAGGCTGTTAAAACGGATTATTACGACATGAAATCATTGTCTTTGTACTTCCAGTTATACCGGATGTGAGTACTAACTTCGCTAAATTTTTAAATCTATAATTCTTTTTTCTTCAGTTGGGTAGATAGCATAATTTCACATAACTTTTACTTGAAAAAATTTTCACGATCGCTTATAATTTTTGAAAAAAAAATTATTTTCGTTATTTTTTAACGTTGTATTACAACTTTTGACGCATAGTAGCTAGGTTAATAGTATAAACTATGCTATGTCCCTCTTGATTTGCTATTTCTCGAGCAGTGATCACTGCTATGCTTTAGTCAGTGGTTCTTTTTTAATAATGGTGTAAATTAACAGTTGTATTAAATTAGTTTTTAAAGAAAAACGCGATTTTTTCTTTATTTTTTGTTCTTCTACGCTAAATGTTTTGTAGCTGATAGTAACTTACAATAAACATTGTACATTGTAAGTTACCACATTCGGGTTTAGCCGTATTAATAGACGTTCGACTAAACTCGAATATTTCTAGATCTAACTCTAGTGTTATTTCTACTTTTAATTGTTAACTAACACTGGAATTAGAACTAACACTAGACCTAGCTTTAATTTTACTGTAATAACTTCTTAGTAAAAAATTACCAAAATACACGTTCCATCTTTACAACTATGTTCATCATCGGAACAAATTCTCGTTGCAGTGTGTTCACAATCAGCTTCGTCTTCATTTTCGCTACAATCTTGTTGTTTATCACATCGATACTTTTCCGGGATACAACTTCCTGATTTACATCGGAATTCTCCGGCTAAACACGGATCTAAAGTGGTCTGGCAATCGACCTCATCACTCCAATCTTTGCAATCGTTGTCGCCGTCACATTTGTACTCGATTTTAATACAATTATTATTTAATATACATTGGAATTCCTCTTCGCTGCACATAAACGGTTGAATTTCTGCAAATAATACCAATTATTGTTGATGAGTCACATTTTTAATTTTAGACGATGATTTAACGTAGTCAACATCTGATTATTATCGAAACTAGCGGTTATTACATACCACAATCATTTTCATCAGTTCCGTCATCACAATCGGGTTCTCTATCGCATTTCCAGCTTAAAGAGATGCAAGATCCATCTTCACACGTGAATTCATCCTCCGTACACCTATAATTTAATTAATTAAATCAGTTTTAATAAGTAATTGGTGGTTGTATAACGATGATATAACAAGATACTATCTTACGCACAATTCTATCTGATTGGAAAATCTTTGAATCATTCATAAAAATTTAAGTGCGGATATAAAACGCTTGAGTAGATTCCGATATAAACCTAACTATCATTCATGTCGTCGTTACTTTTCATTGATGCTATAACCGTATTCATAAGAGTTTCCTTATAAAGTCCGGATCAAAACAAAAACAGATACGGAATACGTCCTTATAAATAGTCTTTTCCTACGCGGTCGTTCTTTAAATTATAATTATAGAAGCAACCGCTAATGACCCATGCGGTATGCGGGGAAATAAGAATAAATCGAAATAACCGAGGTTAAGAATGTCACCACGAAAAACATATTTTATTACTTAATTAAGATGGAGAGTGTGTAACTCTTCGTGGCGTGATTAATTGTTGTTTCTTCCGGTGTAAAATCAAAGAGAAAATATAAATAATAATAAACAGTTATTTTATGAATAATTTTGTAGGACATCATGCTGTTCGCGAACATTGAAAAAACGAAATTTGTCACAAATATTCTTAGTATATTAGTTATTTTTTGAAAAAAATTGGGTTGCCTTTATTTAAAAAAATCATATTTTCGGTGCTACAAATATTGAAGTTACGAAATGTGCCATAAACATTCTATAAAAAATAAGCTTTAATTTAAGCCTAATTTGATTACTTCAGCTGAATTAGGGAGCAAGTTATCAAATTTTTAAAATTAGTTATTTTTTGAAAGAAATTGGTTTGGGTTGCCTTTACTTGAAAAAATCATATTTCCGGTGCTACAAGTATTGAAAAAACGAAATTTGTCACAAATATTCTATAGAGATTGAGCTTTAATTTGCACCTAACTTGATCACTTTAGCTTCATTAGGGACGAAGTTATAAATTTTTTAAAATTAGGTGTTTTTTGAAAGAAATTGTGTTGGGTTGCCTTTGTTTAAAGAAATCATATTTCCTTTGTTACTAATATTGAAAGAACGAAATTTGTGACAAATATTCTATAAAGATTGAGCTTTAATTTACATCTAACTTGATCACTTTAGCTTAATTAGGGACGAAGTTTTGAAAGAACTTGGGTTGGGTTGCCTTTATTTAAAAATATCATATTTCCGGTGTTACAAATATTGAAGAAACGAAATATGCCATAAACATTCTATAAAGAATAAGCTTGAATTTAAACCTAATTTGATTACTTCAGCTTAATTAGGGACGAAGTTATCGATTTTTTTAAATTAGTTGTTTTTTGAAAAAAATTGGGTTGGGTTGCCATTACTTAAAAAAATCATATTTCCGATACTATAAATATTGAAAAAACAAAATTTGTCACAAATATTCTATAAAGATTGAGCTTTAATTTGCATCTAACTTGATCATTTTAGCTCAATTAGGGACGAAGATACCAATTTTTTAAAATTAGTTATTTTTTGAAAGAAATTGGGTTGGGTTGCCTTTATTTAAAAAAATCATATTTCCGGTGCTACAAATATTGAAGTTACGAAGTGTGCCATAAACATTCTATAAAGAATAAGCTTTAATTTAAACCTAATTTGATTACTTTAGCTTAATTAGGGACGAAGTTATCAAATTTTTAAATATAGTTATTTTTTGAAAAAAATTGGGTTGGGTTGCCTTTATTTGAAAAAATCATATTTCCGATGCTACAAATATTGAAGAAACGATATGTGCCATAAACATTCTATAAAGAATAAGCTTTAATTTAAACCTAATTTGATCACTTCAGCTTAATTAGGGACAAAGTTATTAATTTTTTAAAATTAGTTGTTTTTTTGAAGAACTTGGGTTGTCTGTACTTAAAAAAATCATATTTCCTGTTACAAATATTGAAAAAGCGAAATTTATCACAAATATTCTATAAAGATTGAGCTTTAATTTGCATCTAACTTGATCACTTTAGCTTAATTAGTAACAAAGGTAGCAATGTTTTAAAATTAGTAATTTTTTTGAAAGAAATTGGGTTGGGCTGCCTTTATTTGAAAAAATCATATTTTCGGTGCTACAAATATTGAAGAAACGATATGTGCCATAAACATTCTATAAAGAATAAGCTTTAATTTAAACCTAATTTCATTACTTTAGCTTAATTGGGGACGAAGTTATTAACTTTTTAAAATTAGTTGTTTTTTGAAAGAACTTTGGTTGCCTTTACTTAAAAAAATCATATTTCCGATACTATAAATATTGAAAAAACAAAATTTGTCACAAATATTCTATAAAGATTTAGCTTTAATTTGCACCTAACCTGATCACTTTAGCTTAATTAGGGACAAACTTACCAATTTTTTTAAATTAATTCTTTTTGAAAGAAATTGGATTGGGTTCGCTTTATTTAAAAAAAATATGTTTCCGGTGCTACAAATATTGAAGAAACAAAATGTGCCATAAACATTCTATAAAGAATAAGCTTTAATTGAAACCTAATTTAATTATTTCATCTTAATTAGGGACGATTTTATCAAGTTTTTAAAATCAGTTATTTTTTGAACAAAATTGGGCTGGATTGCCATTACTTAAAGAAATCAAATTTCCGGTGCTAAAAATATTGAAAAAGCGCAATTTGTCACAAATATTCTATAAAGATTGAGCTTTACTTTACAGCTAACTCGATCTCTTTAGCTTAATTAGGGACGAAGTGATCAACTTCTTATAATTACTTATTTTTTGAAAGAAATTGGGTTAGGTTGGTTTTACTTAAAAAAATCATATTTCCGGTGGCACAAATATTGAAGAAACGCAATTTGTCACAAATATGCTATAAAGATTGAGCTTTAATTTAAACCTAACTTGATCACTTCAGTTTAGTCTGGAACGATGTTATCAATTTTGCAGGAGACAGCCATATACACACCCTGCTGTTGGCGAACGACCAAACAGTTTTTGCAGTGCACGAAGAGGATCTACCCCATATCTTAACACGTTGGCTACCATATGAATCACTGAATCACAAACTTTCCCATGGCTTTGGTGGCCAACGTGTTAAATAAACTAGAAAAAGAATACAATAAATGGGGCTTGGAAATGAACAAAGATAAGACCCAATAGATGGTGTTTGTCTACATGTTTTATATATATATATAGCTTGGGGTAATTATAAACAAAGACTATAACGATGTAATGAGGAAAGTTGGCAGAAGAAAAAAGCGATGAAGGCAATGCATTCGATTCTGTGGAATAACAACCTAACGATACAAAGAACAAAGAAAAATATTTTTAAGGCCATTATAGAATCATTAATTGATGAGACAGAAGTGTGAGTTAGAAACAGAGACATAACTCGAAGACTACTAGCAGCAGGGATGATGTTTTGGAGAAGATGCTGCATACCCATGCTGGACCGAGTTGAAAATGAGAAAATAAGAAAAAGAATGATGGCACAAAATCTACGCCGAATGAGTAAAGAGTAAGCTGGGTGCCAACAGAAAGTAACAAAAGAGGATATCAATGTGGAGATGAAGAGGAGAGGACTGGGTGAAATAGAAATAAAATACTTTTGATAAATTATGTTTCGAATTTTATGTAGGTGGTAATAAAGCAATTTAATTTCGATGCAGCATCCTGCCCACGTTTCCTGATGACAGAAGTTTTCCGTTTTCCCCCCAATGGATTTCCTTTGATTTTTGACCTCGACACGACTCCGCGTGAACAGGTGAACGTGGGCGGTTAGATGCTGATACGTCCGTTGCCGTAGCAACTTCTACCCGCCCCCGCAGACTATCGATCGCGAGCGACTTCTCCGGAGTCCTGTCCGTTGGATGCCGGAGTCGACCGGCAATTTTCCAAGACAATTCGGAAAATTTTCCGAGGAGGGGCCGCCCACACATCTCTGCTATTTTCGAACACGTTGATTTTCTCGCCGGTTTTGTTATTGCCGATGTCTTTGGGAAATGTGGGCGGATGGATTTTATTATTTTTACCACCATTCAGCTTGTACCATTAAGTCAAGTCATTTATGAAAGGAAGTTTATTTTTAAACTGATACTATTCATAAAGATTCTTCGTTATTTGAGATTTATACCGCGATGGGTCGTTAAACACGAAAATTAGTCAATTATTTTACAAAATATTACACAAAATCATTTGCGGCAACTAGTTGGAGTTTATCCAAGTTCACTTACCCGACTTTTGTGCAGTTCGATTCATCAGAATAATCCTTACAATCGTTGTCGTTGTCGCAGACCCAATTTTTTGGGATACATAATCCATTCGCACATTCAAATTGATCAATGGTACAATTTACCGATTCTCCTAAGAAACAAAAATAAAATCATTTCAGTTTATTTTCACAATTTCATGTTTAAGAAAATAAATTTCGTCACTTTAACTAAATCTTTGTAGTTGAAATAGTTTTGGGCGTCGTCCAATACGCAACATGACAAGAAAATAGCAAATGCAGTACTTGGTACAAACATAAATCTTTCTTTATTTCTATTTATTTCGGTTACTATTTCTTAGGTATTACTTACCACAATGAGTTTCATCCGTGTAATCGCCGCAATCGTCATCACCATCACACAACCAACTCTTCAAAATGCAACTTCCGGTCCTCGGACATCTCGTGTACTTCCCATTTTCTAAGTCCTCGCATTTTTCGTTGTTTCTCATCGTATTTTCGCAATCAATTTCATCCTCGTTTTTATCACAATCCGCTTCGCCATCGCACCTCAACATTTCTTTGATACACATACAACTGGATACGCATAAAAATTCCCCCCTCGTACAATCGCCACCGCATAAATGAACATCGTGAGTATCCATTTGTTCGGGATGTCTTACATATTGATTAGAAATTTTCATCAATCTCCTTCTATCCGGCGGTAATAACCCTTTCCCAAAAAGTTCGCCGGAATACCATCCCAAAGGTGGTCTTTTTATTACACCTGCAAATTCAGGTCGATTTCCATATTTACCACCCAAGTGGCGGACAGATGGGATTGGAAGATGGTCAATTGGAATCGCTATGGGAAATCGGAAAAGAGGATTTGGCAACGGTGACTTGTAAATAGGAATTTGAGAAATTTGAGTTGGTTTCTGGGAAGGACTAACGTAAACGGGCTTCATTCCGGGTGGTCGAAGAGATCCAGAACCGTACATTTGTCTTGCTGCACCTCGATGTGGTGGAGGAGTCACGGTTGTTTGTTCTTGGGAATCGCATTGTACAACTAAGAAAGTGAAGAAAAGAAAATTAACTGTGACTAATTTTAAAAGGATTTAAGTTTTTTTTCGGCCAAAAGATTCAAGAACACAATTATTCGTCTTTGATATTTGTAGCATCTTTAGCTTAATTCGGCATACGAGAATTTTTATTCTATTCTAATTACCCGAGATTGCACAAGATGTGTCTTATTTTTGGTTCATTCTGCATTTATGAGTATTGCCCAAAAATGCATTTAGGAAATAAAGGCTGGGGTTGTAGTAAGGAGTTGTGCTTCAAGTTACATGGAATTTTGAAGAGTTAAGATAACAAAAGATTTACAATGATTTCAAAAGGTGTTTCAAGCAATACCTAGGTTTTTGCAAACGTCCTGGAACTTTCCAGAATGTTCATAAATAATTTGACAACAATATGATCAACAATATATCTTTAACAATTTCCAAAGATGTATATTTTTTAGTATATCCAAGGTATGCTTTAAAAATGTCTAAATGTATCCAAGAACTTTGTGACAACAAGGATTTTGAAAGCGAACCTAAAATTTCCTGGAATTTTGGGGATAATCCAGGAATTGCTAGATTTTCATGGATTTGTATAAGAATTTCCAAGTATAACTAACGAGTGGAGTTTGTAGGATTACCAAGAATATCGTGAAACTTCCAAGAAAATCATTGGGTTTCTATTTTCAAGAATGTTCTGGATTTCCATAAATATTCAACGACTTTTGTAGGATTTTCAGAGAATTTACAACAACATACCTCTGATTATTAAGTATATTCAGGATTCTAACGATTATCTTATATTTCTACTTTGTCGTCTACTCTGTTCAGATCCAGAAAAGCCTCATCTCTTCTAATTCTCCTTAATATCCTCTAACGCGATATTAAAGTAGGCATCAAAAGGCGATCAACTTCTGTGTTCCAATCACAAAACAGTCATGCCGTTGCCCTCCGCTTGCGAAGATGCTATAATTTATTATAGTAAAATTATATACAGCATATGGAGGATCCAGTCATCATCAAATTCATAAAAATCAGCTATTTGTATTGGATAGTTCAAACTCAATTACTAAGCAAGCGGCGGTCGGAAAAAGGTTTAGAGGATGAACCCAAGACTAGATATGTGGATCAGGTGAAAGAAGACATTAAATGTCTTAATATCATCCACTATAGAAGCAAAATGAACGGAGTGAAATGGAGGAGCCTTTTAGAATAGACTAAGACCCATAGAGAGTTGTCATACCACTGATGATGATGGTTGATGATCATCATCTTCATAACTAAGTCTGTCATGCCATTGCTGTCAACTATGAGCGTTGTGGTAATATCTCTCATGGTTTTTTTAAGTATGTGGCGATGTTTAAGTATTTAGTTGATGGTGGATTTTGCCTTCTAGATGGAATTGAGTAGTTGTGATTTCCTGATTTCTTTTAAATCGCCACTCATTCTGATTTCAGCACCTCTCAAAACATTAACCTTCAATAATTCACAGGAATTAGTATCCCTTTTAGGTGTTGGACACTTCAGATAATAATCAACTTCAACCCCAATAGGACTTTTTTCATTGAATACAACTTTATTTTTATCCGTTTTGTCTTTAGCAACCTCATTGTAACAATCCCAATACGATATATAAAATCTCCTGTTGCAGTTTCTTCTCTTCACTTGTAATTCATTATCACATTCATTACTAACAGAACTGTCGCTGCTATCACTTTCGATTATTAATTAAAGTATCCTGCTNGAGTTGTCATACCACTCATTAACGCTCTCTCTTCATAACCAAGTCTGCCATGCTATTGCTATCAACTATGAGCGTTGTGGTAATATCTCTCATGGTTTTTTTAAGTATGTGGTGGAATCTTCTAGGTGGAATTGAATGGTTGTGATTTCCTGATCTCTTTTAAATCGCCACTCATTCTGATTTCAGTACCTCTCAAAACATTAACCTTCAATAATTCTCTCCCTCTTTGAGTATTCTCACTTTCACTATTCAGAGGAATTAGTATCTCTTTTAGGTATTGGACACTACAGATAATAATCAAGTTCAACCCCAATAGGACTTTTTTCATTGAATACAACTTTATTTATATCAGGTTTGTCTTTAGCAACCCCATTGTAACAATCCCAATACGATATATAAAATCTCTTGTTGCAGTTTCTTCTCTTCGCTTGTGATTCATTATCACATTCATTACTAACAGAACTGTCGCTGCTATCACTTTCGATTATTAATTAAAGCATCCCCTTTTTAATGCAAAAAGCCGTTTTGAAAAATCACTTTTAGTTCTTGAGAAATAAATTTTTGAAATGATCGACAATTTTTTCGAATTTTGCAATTTTCGCCGATTAAGTTTTAAAAATTCGTATAAAATCCATTTCTTGGAATATGAGTATGAAAATTTCCCAAAGTGTTAATAAAAGTGTCCTCTTTCCAATGAACCAACCCGTTTTGAAAAATAACTTTTAGTTTTTGAGAAAACAATATTTGAAGTTTTGATAAAATTTTCGATGTTGCAATTTTCATCGATAATTTTCAAAATTCGCTATAAAATTAATTTCTTGAAGGATCCTTGTGGAAATATCACCAATTATTAATTAAAGTATCCTCTTTTTAATGCAAAAAGCCGTTTTGAAAAATCACTTTTAGTTCTTGAGAAATAAATTTTTGAAATGATCGACAATTTTTTCGAATTTTGCAATTTTCGCCGATTAAGTTTTAAAAATTCGTATAAAATCCATTTCTTGGAATATGAGTATGAAAATTTCCCAAAGTGTTAATAAAAGTGTCCTCTTTCCAATGAACCAACCCGTTTTGAAAAATAACTTTTAGTTTTTGAGAAAACAATATTTGAAGTTTTGATAAAATTTTCGATGTTGCAATTTTCATCGATAATTTTCAAAATTCGCTATAAAATTAATTTCTTGAAGGATCCTTGTGGAAATATCACCAATTATTAATTAAAGTATCCTCTTTTTAATGCAAAAAGCCGTTTTGAAAAATCACTTTTAGTTCTTGAGAAATAAATTTTTGAAATGATCGACAATTTTTTCGAATTTTGCAATTTTCGCCGATTAAGTTTTAAAAATTCGTATAAAATCCATTTCTTGGAATATGAGTATGAAAATTTCCCAAAGTGTTAATAAAAGTGTCCTCTTTCGAATGAACCAACCCGTTTTGAAAAATAACTTTTAGTTTTTGAGAAAACCATATTTGAAGTTTTGATCAAATTTTCGATGTTGCAATTTTCATCGATAAGTTTCAAAATTCGCTATAAAATTAATTTCTTGAAGAATCCTTGTGGAAATATCACCAATTGTTAATTAAAGTATCCTCTTTTTAATGCAATAAGCCGTTTTAAAAAATCACAATTAGTTTTTGAGAAATAAATTTTTGAAATAATCGTCAATTTTTTCGAAAAAATCCCAAAGTGTTAATAAAAGTGTCCTTTTTCCAATGAACCAACCCGTTTTGAAAAATAACTTAGTTTTATTGTCCACCCTTTCTTCATTATTGACGTTATTTGCTATTATTTCCGTGATTTGTTGAGAATTTAGTGCATTTCATTACTTTTGCAATTTGTCCATTAAGTATATGTTTCTAGTTTTACATATTATGATGTAGTATAACACTAAGATGTTATTAAGGCTTCTATATTGGTGTTTCGATCAGGTTTCTACCAGAATATTTTTAGAAACAACAAACGTTTGGAGAAACTCAAGCTGTAATTTTTGCATATTCTTGCAAATTTTGGTTATTTCAGGTTGGGTTATCATAATGCAAGAGGAACACAAAAATTGAAATTGGATGTATGATAATCAAAAGTCTGCTTGAATGGTTCGAGTAATTTTTAGATAAATTAGTCCAAAAAAAGATCACCAAAAAGTTATGAAGTTTCCCTTTAAGAAGTGTTGATTTCAGCCAATTGACCAAGTTATGGAGAATATTATGATGAAAGAAATATAGAAACGCATTGGGTGTGATCACGCAGAAAAAGCAAATGTAAGTAAAATTTACTTAGATACTGGCGGAGATGATAATAATGATGATTAAGGAATATGTCATAAGATGTTATAAACTCTAATATAGCTTAAAACGACGTTTAATTTAGTTTAATGATCATTTCTAAGTTATTATGTATTAATCAATTTTCTTTTTGAATGATATCGTTTTAATGGAGAGTAATAAACGAATCGAATTGATTTCATTCCGAGAAATTTAGCCAATAAACATCATAAAATGCGAAAACGCCCAACTACGGATTATGTAGTAAAGCTATAGTAGAGAGGCAGCAGGAATGAATGGGTCCATTCAAGAGTGCGCAGGACTAGCAAGGATGCTGTTCCTGATCGATATTTCCAGATTGTAGGCGGCTGGTATTATATATATATATATAATTATTCAATAACACAATAATACAAAATTAAAACGAAAATAACCCAAAAAAGTTAACATTAAAAGAAATTATTATTTAAATAAAATAAAAAACTTACGCGTTATAAGGGTTATAATTATAATTAATCCCCATTCCGATTTAATATTCTTCAATAAAACACCCATGATTTTTTAGATTGTTGATAAATCCTCTTGAGATGCTGATAAGAAGGGCATTTACACCCTCACAATAAAGTATCTTCTTTTATAGCTCATATTAACCGAAACCGGCGGTAAAAACGTTAATTTTGGTTAAAAAAATAAAAATAAAACTCCGGGGCGTCGCGACGCACTCACAGAGTTTTAAAAAAAAATTACACTTTTCCACATAAATCCATAGTATTATTAGAGTAGAATCACGATACAACTCCAAATTTTTTTTTAAGTGTTATTTTAAAAAGTTGCACTTTCAAAATCGCTTCTGTACACAGCTGGCGCGTATTTTCGCGTTGCAAGAAGATGATGAAGGGTATTGTTGAGCGCCGCTGCTGGTCTCTGATGAGTTGAACGTGCGCAGACGCTCGCCAAACAGTACCAGGAAAAATAAGGAGGAGGAGATGAAGACGCCGGCGCCGGCGCGAATTCAAGGCGTTTTCGATCGCTATTTTGGACAAGAAAATTTAAAGGATGTAAAGTGACACAAAGTGGCGCCAACGCCGCAAATAAAAATTTAAAAAAGATACATTAATAATGTAACGCATCCAATCACAACGAACAGCTGTCTATTAAATCTAATTAAATTGATCTTCACGTAGCGCAATTTCCCGAGAAACCAATATAAATTACGTGCAAAAGACTCTCTCTTTGCCTCCGGCCTCAACATGAAATATGAAATACCATCTAATGCATTACAAATTTTCAGGCGGAAGAGGGGAGAATTACTCTCGATGGCACCGCGAAGACGAGATGTTTATAAATAGAAATCGGTTGAACGAGTACGGAAAGTCAAAATAAAATTTTTAAACTAAAATAAATAAGTAAATAAATATGAAGGTGCACGCAAACCCGCATCTCCATAATGCGATTTATGCTACGTGTTTGAAATTGTTAATGGGATTTAATGCATAAATATATTCACTAATTTAATGTTGTGGTATGCATACAACGTATTGAGAGCGACAAACCAAACGATTATTTCCCACGGCGAGTATCTATTTGGCGTCTTCAATGGTTGCAGAAAATTACTGTGCGTGTCGAATCAATTGAGAAGAAAAAAGAAAGTAAAGGAAGTTGTTTATATGTAATATAATCTATGAGAAAAAATAAATCAAAAAAACGAAAATTTGGAATAAAAAGTTTTTCATGTTGAAAATTTATACATGATAATATCTGCTTTAATTTGACTTAATCTTCCCACGGTGATTTTATATGTTAATATCTCAGATATTAATTAAATTAGATTAAATTAATAATTAAAAAAGAAAGGAAGAAAATAAGGATGTTTTAATTAAACGAAATTTTGTTACGATGAAGTTATTTTAATATTACTAGTATAATAAAATGATAACAATAATTATAGTGAAACGACGAGAACAACGAAAGGGAATTTTTACATAGTACAGTAAAACCTCGATATAACCGAGTTCGATAGAACGGACAAAATATTTTTAAGTCATACTATTAATATTATCTATTCCATGTTCATAGATAAACTTGTGGTATTCCCCGAGTTGACACGCCATTAGTCATTGAACTAAAATTAGAACTAACACTAGACCAGTGGTTGGTACCCACTCTGGTGGGGTCCAGGTCACAGAGACATTAAGGGTAATAAGAAGGCGGACAAGCTGACCAAAGAGGCAGCGAACTTTCATTGGGTCCCAACCCAATTACGCTGGAAAGAACTTTCAAAAGACACAACATTTTCGGTAAAGCTCTTTTAACATCTACCGACATAAAGGAACAAGACCTTGGAGCAATACTAAGGTTCATTAAGGACCTACATTTGCCCTAAACTTTTATAGGGCTAAATTTCCAATAGATCTTATAGGTCATGATGACGAGAGGGGCTACTCCCCTCAGCCCGGCAGAAATAATAATAATAATAGACCAGCGGTTCCCAAAGTTTTATTTATCACGCCACAAAACTATCTAACATCAAAATAGCACGCCCCCCTTGGAATAATTTTGTAATAGGTATAATAATATAATTATAGAAAACATACATATTTTATTACAATAGAATACGTTTTTTACACACATGCGTTAAAAAAGAAGAAATCAATCAATGGGATGGATGAGCTTGCATACTTTTGACAAGATTTCCAATTCTAGATTGAATAGAAAAAAGCGCACAACGATCTACGTGTGCGCTTTTTCAGCAATATTAAGTTTATTTCTATATTTCAGTTTTGTTGCTATAACTGTAGAAAACGCACAAACATCTGTGCCGGGATAAACTTTGACATATTTTACCCAAAATAGTGACTTATCCATCTTCCCAAAATCATATTTGCAGAATCATTTTTAATATCCATGAGAGCAAGTTTTTGCTCTTGTGGTGTTTCTTGTAACTCATCTGTTTTAACGCTTTGTGTCCTGACAGTACTTTAAAGTACCGGTAGTTTTAAACACTCATTTTAAAGAGAAAGCTTTGAGCTTTAATTTAGAACAAGTCCCATTCCTTAATTTCAATAAATACGGCTTCCAGGAATTTTTAAATTAGCATCTTTTTTAACACTTTTTGGTTATACGAAAATGTAAGTTTTCTTTCAACATTTTTTTTCTCAATATTGTTCCAATCCAACCCAACAATTATTATACATCATTTCAAAGAGAAAGCTTTGAGCTTTAATTTAGAACAAGTCTCATTCCTTAATTTCAATAAATACGGCTTCCAGGAATTTTTAAATTAGCATTGTTTTTTGACACGTTTTGGTTATACGAAAATGTAAGTTCTGTTTCAACATTTTTTTTCTTAATTTTTTTCCGATCCAACCCAACGATTATTATACATCATTTTAAAGAGAAAGCTTTGAGCTTTAAATTAGAATGAGTCTCATTCCTTAATTTCAATAAATACGGCTTCCAGGAATTTTTAAATTAGCATTGTTTTTTGACACGTTTAGGTTATACAAAAATGTAAGTTTTGTTTCAACATTTTTTTTCTCAGTATTTTTCCAATCTAACCCAACAATTATTATATATCAATCTTTAAAATGTTAAAGAGAAAGCTTTGAATTTAATTCAGAACAAGTCTCATTCCTTAATTTCAATAAATACGGCTTCCAGAAATTTTTAAATTAGCATCTTTTTTGACACTTTTAGGTTATACGAAAATGTAAGTTTTATTTCAACATTTTTTTTCTTAATATTTTTCCAATCCAACCCAACAATTATTATAGATGGTTTTAAAGAGAAAACTTTGAGCTTTAATTTAGAATGAGTCTCATTCCTGAATTTCAATAAATACGGCTTCCAGGAATTTTTAAATTAGCATCTTTTTTGACACGTTTAGGTTATACGAAAATGTAAGTTTTATTTCAACATTTTTTTTCTCAATATTTTTCCAATCCAACCCAACAATTATTATACATCATTTTAAAGATAAAGCTTTGAGCTTTTAATTAGAACAAGTCTCATTCCTTAATTTTAATAAATACGGCTTCCACGAATTTTTAAATTAGCATCTATTTTGACACTTTTAGGTTATACGAAAATGTAAGTTTTATTTAAACTTTTTTTTTCTCAATATTTTTCCAATCCAACCCAACAATTATTATACATCGTTTTAAAGAGAAAGCTTTGAACATTAATTTAGAACAAGTCTCATTCCTTAATTTCAATAAATACGGCATAGAGGAATTTTTAAATTAGCACCTTTTTTTGACACTTTTAGGTTATATGAAAATGTAAGTTTTGTTTAACATTTTTTTTCTCAATATTTTTCCAATCCAACCCAACAATTACTATACATCGTTTTAAAGAGAAAGCTCTGAGCTTCAATTTAGAATAAGTCTCTTTCCTTAATTTCAGTAAATACGGTATCCAGGAATTTTTAAATTATCATCTTTTTTGACACTTTTAGGTTATACGAAAATGTAAGTTTTCTTTCAACATTTTTTTTCTCAATATTTTTCCAATCCAACCCAACAATTATTATACATCATTTTAAAGGGAAAGCTTTGAGCTTTAATTTGGAATGAGTCTCATTCCTTAATTTCAATAAATACGGCATCCAGGAATTTTTAAATTAGCATCTTTTTTAACACTTTTAGGTCATAGGAAAATGTAAGTTTTCTTTCAACATTTTTTTTCTCAATATTTTTCCAATCCAACCCAACAATTATTACACATCGTTTTAAACAGAAAGCTTTGAGCTTTAATTTAACATAATTCTCATTCCTTAATTTCAATAAATACGGTATCCAGGAATTTTTAAATTTGCATCTTTTTTGACACTTTTAGGTTATACGAAAATGTAAGTTTTGTTTCAACATTTTTTTTCTCAATATTTTTCCAATCTAACCCAACAATTATTGTACATCATTTTAAACAGAAAGCTTTGAGCTTTAATTTAGAACAAGTTTCATTCCTTAATTTCAATAAATACGGCTTCCAGGAATTTTTTAATTAGTATCTGTTTTGACACGTAGATTATGCGAAAGTGTTAGTTTTTGCTCAATATGTTTTTTCTCAATATTCTATCAGATTTTCGTCGTTCTGTAGCTACAGGTCTGATAAATAAAATTAATTAAAAAGAGGAAGTTGTGAAAATTGTTGAAAAACTGAAAAACATCGAAATCGGTTATAACTCAAGAGCTAGAAACAATAGAAAAACTTGATGTCGACAAAAAATTCTTTAAATTAACCCTAATTATGTAATTCATTAACCAATTTAATCCATAATGGATTATTGCCAACATAAAAGGGCTAGAACCGCAAAATATCCAAATATTGCATCTTTGACATTGAAATCGGTTATATCTCAAGAAGTAGAAGCAATAGAAAAATTTGTTATGGACAAAAAATTCTTTAAATGAACCCTAATTATGTAATTCATTAAGCAATTTAATCCATAATGGTTTGTTATCAACCGAACAGGATTAGAACACCAAAATATGACCCAACCCAACGATTTTAATGATCATTTTAAGACCAAGTAATGGTTAAGATTATCGGTTCTTCTTCAAAATAGTCATCATGATCATCATTCTCATTGCAGTCGGTTTTGTTAGAGGATTAAATAGATTACATGAAGTAGTAGATACTCCATGTAGGAAAGCAAACTCCTAAAAATTGCAGATCTTCTCATCCAATTTTATTGGAGTTATTAATTACCACACCAAAAGTTATCTGACCTCAAAAACTGTATTTTAAGAAGTTCTTTACCTAACTAAGAAGAACCTTACTTAGGTTTCGATGAAGTTTTGATGAGGATTTGATGAAGTTTTTCAACCTAACATTAAATTTTTTAGAAATTTATGCATTCATTGAGGTTTCTTAGCTTGATAACAATGTTTGAGTAATAATTTGCTAGATAGTAGTGTTAGTTCTAGTGCTAGTGTTAGCTCTAGTTTGAGTTATTATTTAGTGCCAGATTGTTGTTGGCACTTTTGGCATTTCCTTCCCCGAATTAATCCGTTATATCGAAGATTTTACTGTATTTTTTGTATCTGCAAAAATTCCCGATTTATAAGGAACTGTAACAATTTTATAGACATCGAATACCCTTTTTTTCTTACTAATTTATAAGTGGACAAGCTTTAAAATACAATTTTTGTTTTAAATTGGACAGGGTGATTAAAAAATCCGCCTTTAAATATTAAACTGGTACATTTTTGAAAATTGGTTTAAATTTTTTTACACCCTGTATCCGTTGAGCGAGTAGAAAAAATAAATTTATTGGCCATGATATGTTTAGAAAAAAAGATAATTAATTAATCCCATCTAAACATCGAGTCTAATCAAAGAAAAAAAATGAACCAAAAAATCTAAACCTAATCTAAAAACACCACTATTAATTTCTTTAAGTGTAAAATTCTAATTTCACTCGAGACGATTCAAATATGAAACAAAAAAATCGAAACTTAAACGATTTCAAAAAATTTTTTGAGAATTATTCTCACTCTAAGAAATAGAACAACCAATAGCACGTATTGAACACTATGAAGGCAACTGGAAATATAATCCTCGAGTATTTATCTATAATGTTGACGTCTTTGATTTTTGGCATCGATGCTTTTAATGCTGAAGCACCCTTTTTAAGCGCATGTAACATTTTCGGTTTATGCATCGCGTTCCCTACAACAACACAAAATTAAACCCACTAAATTCATTAATATAATCATTAAAACCTTTCGTTCCTCGAAATCTTAATCCGCCAGTTCTCGAATTAACAGTATACCCAGGCGATCTTGTAATCCTAAAACTGGGGGGAAATTTTGATTGATCCAAATCGATACTTTTCGCGCTATGCCTGCTTCTAATGGACGCTATAGGACTTAATCGAACGTCTTGTAACTCGATAATGTCTTCGTTATGATAGGTTTGTTCACCACTTTTGGTCCCACCTAATATTAAAAAATAAAATAAAATAAAATTAATCGCAAAAATTAATAAATTCAAAATTAACCACTTCCTATCCTTCTTTCTTCTTCTTTACTTTTCTTGGTTTTTTTCTTAGCTCTGGCACCCCAATATGTGTAATTAACAGCGGCGTATTCCAAAAGAGCGGCAAATACAAAAACGAAGCACATCACCAAATAAATATCGATTGCTTTTACGTAACTTATCCTCGGAAGAGAACTTCTTACTCCCGTGCTAATTGTTGTCATTGTTAAAACGGTGGTTATTCCTAAAGCAACTCTTGCGCTTGTAGCTTCGTGGTTAATCCAAAAAGAAACCCAAGATAACATAACGATCAAAATGCTAGGAAGGTAAGTTTGAAAAACAAAATAACCGATGTTTCTTTGTAATTTAAAAGACAACGAGAGTCTTTGATAAACCCCTGTTGCTAATTTTTCTTTACGATCGTTGGTTTCGTAACCTATTATTGTGAATTGAGGCAGTTCGGCTTCTTCGACGCCTCTTACTGGGGTATCTTTCCAGTACATAACCACATCAGAGACTGTATATCCATCTAAAAATTAATGAAATTAAAATTTTTTGGGTTTAGATTCTTATTTGACTTACAACTTTCGATTTCCACGGTACAATTTTGTGAATCTAATGGATAATAATGAAGGTCCATCATGCAAGCTAACGTTGTTGTAAATCTCATTCCGTATGTTATTGATCCTTCCCCATTTAATCTTACTAATTTATTACGTTCTGTTACATCATGTAGAAAACTAAAAAAGAAATAAATCAAATTGTGAGGTAACAATGTTTTGGCAAAACACAGAAGATTAACATTTTTGTGTAATTGGGCCACCCACTAATGTACTACTGTATCACTTCAACAAGGACTTTTAAAAAGCTACTAGCTCTCAAGATTTGGATAATTCCCATAAAGAAAATGAGAAAATTTAAGAAGCTACTAGGTTACTAAACTTCAATGAAGACGAGAAGCTGCCATGGAAGAAGAGAGAATTGGGAAGAATCTTTCTATGCCCGGTTTGAAAAAGAAGGAGGAATCTACGGATATCTGCAACGGCCATAAACAAGCATAGCTGGGTTCTTCGGTATATCCTATTTTATGGGGACGACAACCCGTCCTCATAAAAAATCATCTGTTACGGAACTTGCATTGCCTGGTAATTGTCTTTGCTAACGCAAAACAGATTTTTATTCAGAAAATCTGGAATTTTTGGGGATTTTCACTTTCTAACTAAAAAATGGTTATAATGAAGATAAATCTAATAATGGATTATGTATTTGTAATTCATAATAAACATTTATTTTGCAAAACATTTTTCTTTATCACTTTTAATTTTTGAGCAATGATCGAAAATAATCTTTATTAATGAAAATCAACAACTTTTTGGGGATTTTCATTTTCTAGCTAAAGAATAGTTAGCATTATGCTTAATCTGTCAATGGATTATGTATTTGTGGTTCATATTAAACAATTTCTATACAAAGCATTTTCCTCCATCTCTTTTATTTTTTGAGTAATGATCGAGGTTATTAACAAAAATCAGTAACTTTGCTATTTTTGGGGATTTTCACTTTCTACCTAAAGAATGGTTGGCACTATACTTAATCTATTAATGGATTATTTATTTGTGGTTCATAAGAAACAATTTCTATACAAAACATGTTCCTCCATCACTTTTAATTTTTGGGTTATGATCGACTTTGTCAATAAAATCAGTAACTTTGCTATTTTTGGGGATTTTCACTTTCTAGCTAAAGAATGGTTAGCAGTATAGTTAATCTGTCAATGGATTATGTATTTGTGGTTCATAATAAACAATTTTTATGCAAAACATTTTCCTCCATGACTTTTAATTTTTTGATTATGATCAACTTTATTAACAAAAATCAGTAACTTTGGTATTTTAGGGGATTTTCACTTTCTAGCTAAAGACTGGTTGGTAGTATGCTTAATCTGTCAATGGATTATGTATTTGTGGTTCATAATAAACAATTTTTATGCAAAACATTTTCCTCCATTACTTTTAATTTTTTGATTATGATCAACTTTATTAACAAAAATCAGTAATTTTGGTATTTTAGGGGATTTTCACTTTCTAGCTAAAGAATGGTTGGTAGTATGCTTAATCTGTCAATGGATTATGTATTTGTGGTTCATAATAAACAATTTTTATGCAAAACATTTTCCTCCATCACTTTTAATTTTTTGATTATAATCAACTTTATTAACAAAAATCAGTAACTTTGGTATTTTAGGGGATTTTCACTTTCTAGCTAAAGAATCGTTGGCAGTATGCTTAATCTGTCAATAGATTATGTATTTGTGGTTCATAATAAACAATTTTTATGCAAAACATTTTTCTCCATCACTTTTAATTTTTGAATTATGATCAACTTTATTAACAAAAATCAGTAACTTTGGTATTTTCGGGGATTTTCACTTTCTAGCTAAAGAATGGTTGGCAGTATGCTTAATCTGTCAATAGATTATGTATTTGTGGTTTATAATAAACAATTTTTATGCAAAACATTTTTCTCCATCACTTTTAATTTTTGAATTATGATTAACTTTATCAACAAAATCAGTAACTTTGGTATTTTTGGGGATTTTCACTTTCTACCTAAAGAATGGCTACAATTTAACTCAATTTAACAATGGATTATGTATTTGAGGTTCATAATAAACATTTTATATGCTAAACATTTTTCTCTATCACTTTTAATTTTTGAGCAACGATCGACTTTATCAACAAAATCAGTAATTTTGATATTTTTGTAGATTTTTACTTTCTACCTAAAGAACGGTTGGGACTATGATTAATCTGTGAATGGATTATCTATTTGTGGTTAATAATAATCATTTTATATGCCCAACATTTTTCTCCATCACTTTTAATTTTTGAGTTATGGACTTTATTAACAAAAATCAGTAACTTTGCTATTTTTGGGGATTTTCACTTTCTAGCTAAAGAATGGTCGGCATTATACTTAATCTGTCAATGGATTATGTATTTGTGATTTATAATAAATAATTTCTATGCAAAGCATGTTCCTCCATCTCTTTTAATTTTTGAGTAATGATAGAGTTTATTAAAAAAAATTTGGTACCTTTGGTATTTTTGGGGATTTTCACTTTCTACCTAAAGAATGGTTGGCACTATGTTTAAGCTGTCATTGGATTATGTATTTGTGGTTCATAATAAACAATTTTCATGCAAAACATTTTTCTCCATCGCTTTTAATTTTTGGATTATGATCAACTTTATTAACAAAAAGCAGTAACTTTGCTATTTTTGGGGATTTTCACTTCCTAGCTAAACAATGGTTGGAATTATGCTTAATCTGTCAATGGATTATGTATTTGTGGTTCATAATAAACAATTTTTATGCAAAACATTTTTCTCCATCGCTTTTAATTTTTGAGTTATGATGGACTTTATCAACAAAAATCAGTAACTTTGGTAGTTTCGGGGATTTTCACTTTCTAACTAAAGAATGGTTAGGACTATGCTTAATCTGTCAATGGATTATGTATTTGTGATTCATAATAAACAATTTTTATGCAAAACATTTTTCTCCAAACACGTTAAAGAATAGTGAGTTATGCTGCTTGCTGCTTCAAGATTTCATCAAGAACAAAGAGTAATTCAGGGAACTGAGCTAATTCAGCCCAGTTATATGGTAAGATGTTCTTTACACCTGATTTACAGACTCAGTGAAGTGAAAATCTTTTTTCAGGTTTACATTTGTTTACTTTTCGGCTATAAAATTAAAAATCGTGTTAAAAAGTCATTTTATGTTGTTTTCATTTTCAGGTCATTTAAATGAATCACTCTGTATAAATTTGAATCGAAAAATATTACCTATTTTTATCGTTGGCAAAGAATGTATCCGGTACCCATATTTTTTCAGCAAAATCGCCTGATAGTGTCAACACTTCCTCCCCGTTGCTAAAAGCTAAACGTTCATCTCTCCAATATTGATTCAAATACAATGTTATCGTGTAATCCTAAAAAAAATAATAAATGGAAATTGAAAATATTTTTAAATAACACTAAAAAATGTTTTGAGAGATTTTAATCCACAAATTGAAATAAAATTTTTGATCCACACTACATAAATCAGTTGATATAAATCTGTATTTGTACAATGTTCGATGTTGAGGGTAAGGAAATAGGATTAGACCGGAAATTGAAAAGTATAAAAGTAAGAATCAGGAGAAAATGAGATAATTCAACTTACCATATTAACTTCTGATATAGCATCAAAACTGGCAATAGTTAAATCCATCCCAACAAACAGTGGTTCTCCTAAGACAAAAATAAAGATTAGAATTCAAAAATTATTACCTTAAAAAAATTACCTCCAAAATTCGGCCTTAATCTAATATCATATCCTTCTAATAATCTTGAAATGGTTTGTGTAACATTTTCTAATCGATCAGAAACCATAACCACCTGATGTCTTTAAACACAAAAAATTCTTAGCGTCATCAAAAAAAAAAATCGATTTCTATTCTTCAACTTACCCCAATGCCCTCGAAATCAACGTCGATAAACAAAAACAAACAAGACTCAATTTCGCGTACAACATCTGAATCGCGTTCGATTTTTCCCCTTTCCCAGCTTCTCCTCGAATAAATTTCCTCATTATTGATATGTTACGCGAAAAAGAAACGGTACGAACGACGCATTTTAATTTTGAAGCACTTCATCTCGTGGTTTTTCGGATGGGGAAATTGGGTCGATCCAGAGAAAAAAAACCATAGACAAAGTAAATATTGATGGTGGTAAAATCTTTCGTTTAGGAGATCGTTTTCAAGGAAAATTTAACCAAAAACGTTTCGACCATTTTACGCGGGAAAAGATTAAAAAAATTCTTTTCGTCAATGAGACGCACTTCGTACCGATGATGTGCTCTTATCTTTTGCTGTTCATTAGATGCAGATATTGTTCAAAGCGCTTGCGCCAAATTTCGGCGCCACTACGAGCTAGGCGCCACCTCGTGAAAGCTTTTCGAAGAGATCGAGCTTTCAGAATAAAGAAGCTATCTCGAACAAATCTGTTTATGTTTAACCAATACAGCTTTTTATACAACTTTTTTTTGAATAAATTAAGAAAATCGATTTGTTAGGATTTAAAATTGTTGTTAATTTAATTGTTGATGCCTGGTTGAGTTGTTTTTTAATGAATTTCTCGAATCGCATTCTCTAGTTTAGATTAAGTTCCATGTTTAGCAATTACAAGGTGTTCCGGACTTCCAACTCGCCGTATTTTAATTAAACTTCCTTCAGCGACGTACGTTTCTGATTATTTGGATATTATCTTTAATAAGACATTAATCAAGTTCTTAGGATGACATATGCTTGTTCTGGTTCTGTTTGGAATTGTTTTAATTGAGTTTAATGAAAAAATGTATTTCAGTGAGTAATTGTTGAGCAGACTTCACTAACGATGGTATAGTTCGAGTTATCAGTGCAGATTACAAAGTTTCTGCTAACGTTTTTGGAGTCAATTTATAAAATGAAATTTTTTGATGCTGATTTAACTAACAAAGCAACTCTAAATTGCATCATCGAAAATTTTCTCAAAACTTCAACTATTGTTTTCTCAAAAACTAAAAGTTATTTTTCAAAACGTGTTGGTTCATTAGAAAGAGGACACTTTTGTTAACACTTTTGGTAATTTTCATACTGAGATTCCAAGAACTGGATTTTATACGAATTTTTAAAACTTAATCGGCGAAAATTGCAAAATTCGAAAAAATTGTCGATCATTTCAAAAATTTATTTCTCATAAACTGAAAGTGATTTTCCAAAACGGCTTTTTGCATTAAAAAGAGGATACTTTAATTAATAATTGGTGATATTTCCACAAGGACCCTTCAAGCCATTAATTTTATAGCAAATTTTCAAAGTCATCGATGAAAATTGCAACATCGAAAATTTTAACAAAACTTGAAATATTGTTTTCTCAAAAACTAGTGGTTATTTTTCAAAACGTGTTGGTTCATTGGAAAGAGGACACTTTTATTAACACTTTGGGATGTATTCATACTCCTATTCCAAGAACTGGATTTTATACGAATTTTTAAAACTTAATCGGCGAAAATTGCAAAATTCGAAAAAATTGTCGATCATTTCAAAAATTTATTTCTCAAGAACTAAAAGTGATTTTTCAAAACGGCTTTTTGCATTAAAAAGAGGATACTTTAATTAATAATTGGTGATATTTCCACAAGGATCCTTCAAGAAATTAATTTTATAGCGAATTTTGAAAATTATCGATGAAAATTGCAACATCGAAAATTTTATCAAAACTTCAAATATTGTTTTCTCAAAAACTAAAAGTTATTTTTCAAAACGGGTTGGTTCATTGGAAAGAGGACACTTTTATTAACACTTTGGGAAATTTTCATACTCATATTCCAAGAACTGGATTTTATACGAATTTTTAAAACTTAATCGGCGAAAATTGCAAAATTCGAAAAAATTGTCGATCATTTCAAAAATATATTTCTCAAGAACTGAAAGTGATTTTTCAAAACGGCTTTTTGCATTAAAAAGAAAATACTTTAATTAATAATTGATGATATTTCCACAAGGATCCTCCAAGAAATTAATTTTATAGCGAATTTTACAAGTTATCGATGAAAATTGCAACATCGAAAATTTTATCAAAACTTCAACCATTGTTTTCTCAAAATCTAAAAGTTATTTTTCAAAACGGGTTGGTTCATTGGAAAGAGGACACTTTTATTAACATTTTGGGATATTTTCATACTCCTATTCCAAGAACTGGATTTTATACGAATTTTTAAATCATCTTTATTTTTAAAACTTCTTTATTTTAACGTGAATGGTTATATATTATAAAATGTTATTTTTATCTGTAGGTGATTACCTTGATAACAGTTTCATAAACCGAAACCGGTAGGAATCAAAAACAGAATAAAAACATCAAGAAGTATAAAATTAACAAGTTTTATTGGATTCTATTATATAATCTTGATGAATAATGGAAAATTTACAACACATATTCGAAAAAATTGTCGACCATTCCAAATATTTATTTCTCAAAAACTATAAGCGCTATTTGTTCCACCACTAGTTTAGACATCCTCTGAAAATCTTTTAACATCTTCGCATAATCTCAATTCTGTATCTTGATGGCTTGAATATTCTTGGATTCCATTATATATCCTTAGAAAACCTCTGCATATTTACAGAAATCGTTAAAAATTATTTTAGAAATCATTAGAAATATTATGGACATCCGAAACAATCTTTGAAAGGTTTTGGACATGTTTGGAAAACTACAAAAATCAGTTGATATCATTGGAAATTTTTTCAAATCATTTGTAATCTTTGTGAAATCTTTAGAAACCTTCTGAAAGTTTTCTAGAAATTCCAAAACATCTAGCATGATATAGCAAAACATCACATATAGCATGATGATAGCATGATTATCTTAAATCTATTTGTTTAATGATTATGAAAATCATCTTAACTTATTAATATCAATGGAAACCGATAAAAACAAACAAACGTATTCACTTTCGATTTCAAATACAATTTTTCTCATTCACATCCATTATGAATGAAAAAAGAGGGACAACAAACATTTGTATTCCCAAGCGACGAACACCACTGAACGAGTTTTCCTGTTATCCATTATTGTAAATTCCCGGATCATCGTATTTTCTAATTATTCGAGAACATAAACTGAGACTCCGACTCTTTATATAAACTCCCAAACGGTTCGTGTTACACACATCTTTCGTTGACTTTTGTCGTTGGATTTAAATTGTTGAAAGGTTTTCGGCAGGATTTGTGATCGAAACGGGGTTTATTTGATTGGGAAATAGACCATTATCGAAAAGCGGGTTGTGGTTTACCCCACAAATTAGACGTCTTTCGATTTCCTGAATGTCTGACGTTGGCAGTCGGAGTAAAATGTACTATTTAAAAAAATAAAATTGTTTGAGATAAATAGAAATTTTTAAAAATATTTTATAGTGTGAAAATTATATTTTAGCTCTATGATGGAAATTATGAAAATGTCGTTGGGTTGTCGCATTACGGAAAATAACTCATTTCCCAAACATCAATCAAGCGTCTCGCAATGGCTGGAACCGTCCGAAATACACGGCTTGGTGTATTATAGATAACGAAATCCTGGTGGATTCTGTGCGTGCCCATCCTTCACAAAATCGACATCAATCCTTATGACTCGGTAAACATTCGTATTTCGCGTCGTTTCCATTAAGGATGAAAACGAGCGTGAAGTGTTTCGCTTCGAACGTCTTTTGCAAAACTTCTGGGAAATTTACCAGATGGAGATCAAAGAGAAAATACATAACAAATTTGAAATTTCCGTTGCGAAGATGCCATTCAGAAAGTTTCTATTTTTAAAACTTTCTTGGACATTCTTTTTAAACATAGGTAGTCTTAATTACAAGTTTAGAAGCTTTCTGGATGGTTCATATATCACAATAAGTTGGGCGCACTTTAAAATCTGGTCCATTTATGTTTCTGATTGCTATTGGAACTCCCTGAAGTAATAATTCTAAAGTAAAAAGTACTCGTACGTGTTTCGGATGAAAACTGATGCTTCCGTGCTCTTGAAGCAATTTGTTACTTTTAAACTTAAGATTTTAACCTTCAATCACGAAGGTAAACGTTAAATTTTATTAGAAAAGTATTTAAATTTTAAATTAAATCAAGAATTTAAATATAAAAGTTTTGGTGGAGGCGCCAGATTAACATTTTAGTAAAATAATAAATTCATCCAAATGTTTGATTAAATCCTTTCTAATATTGTACACATTGAACTTTGTCACATTTCAAATCGGTCACGTGTTGGTAATACGTCGATGATAGAACTCGGAACTTGTGGCATTAACTCCACGGCCCCAGTGACGTCTTTTGTATAAACCGGGTTCATCCTCGACGTATTCCCTATGATGGGAGCTAACCAGCTATTAAACAAAGTTTCCTGAGCAGTAATTGAAGCAAATGATCGATTTACGGTATTCATGTACGTTGATGAAACATCTCAAGGAGACCTAATCATACACCATATGGGATATTGCACATAATGAAAATTACATAGTCGTGGTGTCTAAATTAGGTAATGATACTGATTTTTTAAAATATTTTTACTTGAGTAGAATTACTCCTTCAAAATAACTTCCTTCTGAAGCAGGGGAATAATCAGTTTTCGAAGTTTTTTAAGAACATCTCGGTTAAAGTGTTGATTGGCTGTTTGGCCTTGAGACACAAATTGTTTGTGGACGACTCCCTGGATATCGAAAAACCAAATCAGTATGCATTGGCAATAAAGTTGGTACTCTAGTTTGTTTAGTTAATTCAGTTAAGCAAAGAGAGTCACATCTCATTTTTAAATAAGTCTGTGGGGGGCAAAGTTTAATCAGAACCAAGACGCAATTGGTATTAAAAACTATGTCAAATTAAAATTGAGCATAGAAAAGTTATCATTTATGAAACTAAGGTGTTACGTCTATTTATAAATCATTACATGGCTGTCTTGTTATAAAGTTATGATTAGAAGTTTTGATTCATGTTGTTTGGAATATTTTCGTATTTTCCTCGATATTAACGCACCTAAGAGGAATAATGCAAGAGAGCAATATTGTTAAAAATAAAATTTGCTACAACTTTTGTTGTAAAAGTTTGCTTGAAAAAGCAACAAATTCATCAAATTTTCATATTTTTCTCGATATTGACGCATCTAAAAACAAAAATGCAAGAGGGCAATATTATTAAGAACAGAATTTTCTACAACTTTTGTTCTAAATGTTTTTTTAAGACATGCTCCGATTCCAGAGTGTTACCATTAATAACTTGAAAAAGCAACAAATTCATCCAATTTTCATATTTTCGTATTTTTCTTGATATTGACGCATCTAGGAACAAAAATGCAAGAGATCAATATTGTTAAGAATAAAATTTGCTACTACTTTTGTTGTAAAAGTGTTTCGATGATATGCTCCGATTCCCGAGTGTTACCACTGCTTGAAACAGCAACAAATTCATCAAATTTTCATATTTCTGTATTTTTCTCGATATTGACGCATCTAAGAACAAAAATGCAAGAGGGCAATATTATTAAGAACAAAATTTGCTACAACTTAGGTTCTAAAAATTTTTTTAGGGCATGCTCCGATTCCCGAGTGTTACCATTAATAACTTGAAAAAGCAATAAATTCATCCAATTTTCATATTTTCATATTTTTCTTGATGTTGACGCATCTAGGAACAAAAATGCTAGAGAACAATATTGTTAAGAATAAGATTAACTACAACTTTCGTTCCAAATGTTTTTTTGTAATATGCTCCGTTTCCCGAGTGCCACCATTAACGATTTGAAAAAGCAATAAATTTATCCAATTCTCATATTTTCGTATTTTTCTCGATATTAACACACCTAAGAGGAATAATGCAAGAGGGCAATATTGTTAAGAACAAAATTTGCTACAACTTTTGTAGTAAAACTTTTTCGATTATATGCTCCGATTCCCGAGTGCTTGAAAAAGCAACAAATTCATCAAATTTTCATATTTTTGTATTTTTCTCGATATTGACGCATCTAGGAACAAAAATGCAAGAGGGCAATATTGTTAAGAATAAAATTTGCTGCATCTTTTGTACTAAATGTTTTTTTGCAACATGCACCGTTTCCCGAGTGTTACCATTTACAAATTGAAAAAGCAACAAATTCATCCAATTTTCATATTTTCGTATTTTTCTCGATATTGACGCATCTAGGAACAAAAATGCAAGAGGGCAATATTGTTAAGAATAAAATTTGCTGCATCTTTTGTACTAAATGTTTTTTTGCAACATGCACCGTTTCCCGAGTGTTACCATTTACAAATTGAAAAAGCAACAAATTCATCCAATTTTCATATTTTCGTATTTTTCTCGATATTGACGCATCTAGGAACAAAAATGCAAGAGGGCAATATTGTTAAGAATAAAATTTGCTGCATCTTTTGTACTAAATGTTTTTTTGCAACATGCACCGTTTCCCGAGTATTATCATTTACAACTTGAAAAAGCAACAAATTCATCCAATTTTCATATTTTCGTATTTTTCTTGATATTGACACATCTTCGACTTGCTCATTCTTGCTTTTTTGGACATTGGAGAGGTTGAAGTGTGCCTCACAACCCCAAGACTCATCTCCAGTACACGTTCCAGAAAATCGGGATTATTTTCAACCGATTCCAAAAAATCAAGGCACCTTTCCTTCCTGATGACCTTTTGGTCTTGCGAAAGGTTTTTTGGAACTATTTTTGCGCAGCTTTTTTTTTCATCTTCAATTCATTGATCAAAATATGATGAACGGTGATGTGAGTCAAATTCAACTCTTCCCCGATCATTCTAACTGTCAACCGATGATCTGAACCCACACGATTATGGATTCTGTCGATGGTTCATCTTCAATCTACTCTCTTCCTTTTAAAAATACCTTAAACCACCTTGGAAAACCTGGACCCTTGACAATACAGTATCTTCGTAGGCTCGCGAAGTTTTGCAAAAGTTACACTGTCTCCAAGTCTGAAGCAAAACCTAATAGCACACCGTTGCTGGAAATTTGTAAAATGACTTTAGCGAGTTCAATCTCGCCAAAAAAGAAAACTTTTGTAACACCTTGTACACTCTCACGTTTCAAGATATAATAGATGGTTTCTTTAAAAAAAATTCGAGTTAACTTAAATTTAATTTTGAAAAATCTACAATTACCGTCTGCGTTTTATAGCGTAATATTTAACAGCAATAAATTACAACGAAGAATCATCTAGCTAATAGCGTGAAAATCCAAGCAAACAGCCATTAAGTGGCTACCCAGATTTTCCAAACACTTCTACCAAAAGAAATCGATACTTTCTTTAATCCCATTCCATTTCCCATTTATTTTTTCTAACCCCATTTCTTTTATTTATTCTCATTTCTATTTACGAATCTTTTTTGTTTAACATTTCCATATAAAGAAATAAATTCATGGAAGCGTTTTTTTTCAACATTTTAACATTTTTGTGATTGAAAAATTAATAAAGCGTTTTGTTAAAAGAAGTTTTAAATGTTCTATAGAAACAAGTGTTATTAGGTGGCATTTGGAACAAATATTTGCGAAAACTCGCTACGGTTATGAAAATCCGGCCCTGTTGGAGGCGCTTGCGCCTTCTCTAACGGCGAACTTTGAAAAGTTCCTCGGCACACGCGGTACGCTAGATTTGCCCCGAATATACATTACACAAGATGCTATTGACTGTTTAGTAATACATCCTCGAAAGTACTCGCGGACGAAATGTGCCGGAAAACGAGAAAAGTTTTCTTCACAACTATATTTTTTATGTAAGTACATTTTTCTTATTCAAAGTAACTTTTTTGTATCACTGCCTTTTAGATAGTTTTAAAGTTTTTCGTTTTAAAATCTTGATTAAAAACTAAAGAACTAATTCATTCCGGAATTATCTTCAGGAATTTATTATTTTTTATTATTTATTTCGATTTTAACAACTTTCCTTTTAGAAGCACCTTAAAAATTTGAAACTGGTTCGTTTTGTCTTTATTAAAAGAAAAGAAAAAGTCTTTCAGCATACTTTTCACGGTTGTTTCCTCCGTTTTTGTCGCGCATCCACTTCCCTGAAACGTTCAGACCTGCATTTCCCTGAAACCAGCATCCTCGTTCCTCCTTTTAAAAAATTCAAACTATTTTCACGGATTTACTTCACTTCGGGCGTTTAAAAGCCGATTTAAATGCTTTTACGATAACTTTTTAAAATAGTCAATTTTACTTTCAATATTTTTCCCAAAAAAAAAAAATAAACAAAGTTAAACATAATATTATTGCGGAAAATGTAAATTTTTGTTCGATTTAAACGGTCTCGCTACTTCTTTATGTAAACCGTATTGTTGCATTATGCAAGACTTAAAAATTTTAACGATGATGTAATAAAAACTTTACTCTTTTTAATTTTTCCATGTTCCAAGATAATTTCTGAGATAGATATACAGATAATGTTTATCCCATTGAATTAATTCAAAACGCGTTTTCTTCGAGTTTTCAAAGCGATGTGTATCTAGAATCTACTTAAAATAAACTAAAACATGAAAATATCAACATATAATGTGCTAGAAACTTTATTTTAAAAAAGTAAGTGAATCTCCCCGCTGAAAAAGAATGTAGGATTACTTCCGTAACTACGAAGTATGATATCGGGGTTGTCCCCTAAGGACATCGGCAACGTTAAATATCCTTTAACGTGCCGTAAGAACGAGGGGGACCAGTTCTCGAGATAAGCTCTTGAATAGGTTAACCTTTTTCGTTACCGCACTCGGACTTCGCAATAAATATCAATTTAGGACGAAGAACATGTCCGCAACGGCTTAAAAAATAATAAATAAGAAAAAAAAGGCACAAGAAAAAACGAAGAGAAATAAATTTATTATTACAGAAACAATAACAAATCTTAATTCGTAAATTTTTTAGCATAATTTAATTTTTCTCGATATAATAAACTTGGAGTGAAAACCTTGATCTAATAATCTGGGAATATTTCGAGAAATTTACCAAAGTTGGTTATAAAGTTACACTACCCTAAGGACTTTATTTTACTGTCATATGAAAATGTACGTGTCCCAATTTTAGTTGTACATAATTAAAATAAAGCCACAGATTAAAAAATAAATCTCAGTACTTACATTCCAAAGCTTATTGTACAAAATACAAAAATACAAAATCCTACGTTATGAATATTACAAAATTAGACTGCGATATTTTTAATCTTCGTGAAAATTCCTTCAAAACGAGTCCAAACACGACTAATTTATCTCAAAAAACAACGAAGATACAACAAAAAGTATAATTAAAGTTAACAAAGTGAAGTTGGCAACGAAATACTAAAACTTTTAATATATCGGTTATTTTTTATTCATTTTTGGACTCATTTAAGAAGATATTTTCATACGTATCAAAATTCGGGTTACTTCCGGTTGTAAATGTCAACTTTAATTTTGTGGTATTCTTAATCTTCGTGAAAATTCCTTTGAAATGAGTCTAAACACGACCAATTTATCTCAATAAACAACGAAGATACAACAAAAAGTACACAAATTTAAAGTTAACAAAGTTAAATATCTCGGTTATTTTTTGAGATCATGTTTGGACTCATATTAGCGGATTTGTCATAAAGATTAAGAATATAGTAAAATTAAAGTTGACGTTTCAAACCGGAAGTAGTCCATATCTCGATTATTTTAAAGTTGAATGTATACTTTTTGTACTTTTCATTAAAATGAATACAAATAAAGCACATTTAACGTCAAAAAAGGGTTAATAGATTACTTCCGGTTATAAACGTCAACTTTAATTTTAGTATATTCTTAATCTATTACAAGATAATCATATTTTCTATGAAAAATCCTTCAAAACGAGTCCAAACACGACTAATTTATTTCAAAAAATAACAAAGATACAACAAAAAGTTAACGAATTTAAAGTTAACAAAGTGAAGTTGGTCACATAATAATCAAAATGTAATATATCGGTTATTATTTGAGATAATCCCATCGAGTTTGGACTCATTTTAAAGGATTTTGCATGAAGATTACGAATATGCTAAAATTAAAGTTGACGTTTCAAACCGGAAGTAGCCCATATCTCGATTATTTTAAAATTAAATGAATACTTTTTGTAATATTCATTAAAATGAATGCAAATAAAGCACATTTAACCTCAAAAAGGAGTTAATAGATTACTTCCGGTTATAAACGTCAACTTTAATTTTGTGATATTCTTAATCTATTACAAGATAATCATATTCTCTATGAAAAATCCTTCAAAACGAGTCCAAACACGACTAATTTATCTCAAAAAATAACGACGATACAACAAAAAGTTAACAAATTTAAAGTTAACAAAGTGAAGTTGGCAACAAAATATTAAAAAGTTTAATATCTCGGTTATTTTTTGAGATCATGTTTGGACTCATATTAGCGAATTTGTCATAAAGATTAAGATAGTAAAATTAAAGTTGACGTTTCAAACCGGAAGTAGTCCATATCTCGATTATTTTAAAGTTGAATGTATACTTTTTGTACTTTTCATTAAAATGAATACAAATAAAGTACATTTAACCTAAAAAAAAGGAGTTAATGGATTACTTCCGGTTATAAACGTCAACTTTAATTTTGTGATATTCTTAATCTATTACAAGATAATCATATTCTCTGTGAAAAATCCTTCAAAACGAGTCCAAACACGACTAATTTATCTCAAAAAATAACGACGATACAACAAAAAGTTAACAAATTTAAAGTTAACAAAGTGAAGTTGGCAACAAAATATTAAAAAGTTTAATATCTCGGTTATTTTTTGAGATAATCCGATCATGTTTGGACTCATATTAGCGGATTTTTCATGAAGATTAAGAATATACTAAAATTAAAGTTGACGTTTCAAACCGGAAGTAGTCCATATCTCGATTATTTTAAAGTTGAATGTATACTTTTTGTACTTTTCATTAAAATGAATACAAATAAAGCACATTTAACCTAAAAAAAGGGTTAATAGATTACTTCCGGTTATAAACGTCAACTTTAATTTTAGTATATTCTTAATCTATTACAAGATAATCATATTTTCTATGAAAAATCCTTCAAAACGAGTCCAAACACGACTAATTTATCTAAAAAAATAACGACGATACAACAAAAAATTAACAAATTTAAAGTTAACAAAGTGAAGTTGGTTACATAATAATCAAAATGTAATACCTCGGTTATTTTTTGAGATAACCCCAACGAGTTTGGACTCATTTTAAAGGATTTTTCATATAGATTAAGAATATAGTGAAATTAAAGTTGACGTTTCAAACCAGAAGTAGCCCATTTCTCGATTATTTTAAAGTTAAATGAATACTTTTTGTAATATTCATTAAAATGAATGCAAATAAAGCACATTTAACCTCAAAAAAGGGTTAATAGATTACTTCCGGTTATAAACGTCAACTTTAATTTTGTGATATTCTTAATCTATTACAAGATAATCATATTCTCTAAGAAAAATCCTTCAAAACGAGTCCAAACACGACTAATTTATCTCAAAAAATAACGAAGATACAACAAAAACTTAACAAAATTAAAGTTAACAAAGTGAACTTAGTAACGTAATGATGAAAATTGCAATAACTCGGTTTTTTTTTAAGATAACCCCAACGAGTTTGGACTCATTTTAAAGGATTTTTCATGTAGATTACGAATATACTAAAATTAAAGTTGACGTTTCAAACCGGAAGTAGCCCATATCTCGATTATTTTAAAATTAAATGAATACTTTTTGTAATATTCATTTAAATGAATGCAAATAAAGCACATTTAACCTCAAAAAAGGAAAAGTTAACAAATTTAAAGTTAACAAAGTGAAGTTAGTAACGTAATAATCAAAATTGTAATATCTCGGTTATTTTTTGAGATAATCCCATCGAGTTTGGACTCATTTTAAAGGATTTTTCATGAAGATTAAGAATATAGTAAAATTAAACTTAAAGTTTCAAACAGGAAATAGCTAACATTCGATTATTTTTAAAAAAGAATGTGCACCTTGTGATATTGACTCATTAATTATTTACATGGACTTTTTTGATATAATTGGAGAACATTTGATGTAATGTAACTAAGTTAATATTTTGGTGGAGGCGCCGGTAAAACAACTTTTCTGGTTGAAATTTTAAATTACCCACTTTTAAAATTCTAAAATGATTTAGTGTTTTCGTTCGAACTTCTGTATTTCCTTTTCGTTTAGTTTCGCTTCAGTTTTCGTTTAGTTTCAGTTTAGATTTCGTTTAGTTTTCGTTAACCGTAAAGATTTATGTTTGAATGTAGATCAATTTTTCAGAAAATTTCAGTTCGCTTGAACGGATTGATGTATTACCGGCATCATTACTCCAATCATACGGTTCATAAATCAACAGTTATTCGTATGCGGGCGGTGATAATCTGAAACGCTCTAACTCATGAATATTCAAAAAAAATCTCGAAATTTGTGACAAAAATTAATTTCAGTATTTACTTTTTTAATGAAACGTTCTTATCTTATTCTGAAATCTAAAGGAGTTGACGACTTTATTGATTGATGAAAAGGACGTTCGTAACTGCTTAGGAATGCGCTCTTGTAGTCCCGTTCGAGTCGTTTTTTTGTCGTTCGTCGACAGATAAAACAAATGTCGAATCAGCAGAAACCGGGTTCCACTTGAATTTTAAACGATCGCCGTCGCAAGTTAATTATTCTTAACATTCTTATTCTTCTAGCACTCCTTTTTTTACAGATTAGCTGCCACGGTTACATGTTTTACGACCACGACACCAAGAAATGTAACGTTAATTCAAAATCACCAGTTGCAAGAACAATTTTCCGCCACGCTTAATGGAAAAACAAAACGATTTCCATTAAACGACGTCGTCAGTAAGAACATCACATTAGTCCTTGAGAATTTACTTAAGAATTATGAGAGTTCTCAATTACCAACACATGGACAAGGTAAAAGTGTTTAATTGAGATGGGATGAAAAAATTATGAGTGTTGCATCAACTCAATTTTTTGGTATTCAAAGACATTTTATGAATGCGCAACGCGTTACGTTACGTCATAAATACCGTCCATTTATGTGCAGTGCTCGTGAGTTACTGCTTCATAAATACGGAAAAACATTGGATGTTAGGAAAATAAATTATGACTTTATAAATTTTCTAATTAACTTTATTGAATATTTGATATATGACAATTAATTTCGTTTGTCGGAGCCCGTTATCAGTTATTCAATGTTATGTTTCTCTAATTTTTTAAAAGATGGTGCCGGTGTGTGTTCTAGATTGGATGTCGCGCTTTTATTTTAGCTACATAAAGGAATAAAGGCGCGACGTCCAGTCTAGAACACACACTAGTCGTGAACTAAGTAGTACTTCGTGAACGAAGTAATAATTAATTGACGAAATACATAAGAATGTCTTGCTTGAATCATTTTTTAACCTTATAATATCCGTTTTTTTTCTATTTTTAAAAAGAATTCAAATTATTTTCAAAAACCTAAACACTATTCTCAACCAGATTCCGTTTTTAGCAAGTTTTCAACATAACTAACTTCGTAACGTGCACTTCAAAGGGTCACATTGTTACCAAAATACCGAGGGTACTGAGTTGCTTTTCAGAGTTCCAACAAACGTTCCATTTACCAATGGAAATTATAAATACCACCATTTGTTTAAGAATCTTTTAATTAATAAAAAATTTATTTGAGAAACGAAGAAAATTAAAAAAAAAACAGTTAAAAATTGTTTTATTATTTATATTTATTTATAGCAATAAATTGAACTGTTCATGCTTTAGTAACTCGTTGCAGTTGCTATTATTTCCAGTCGAATCGATTAAATAAACTTTTTTTATGAATTATTTTTGTAAAAATAATAATTTGTTAAAATAATTTTGTTTTATTTTTTTAGATAAACCAACTATAATCCAAACAAATATTTTAATAAGAAGTATGGGTCCAGTTTCTGAATTAGACATGGTAAAGGCGACTTAAAAAATAAAATAAAGTTTAATTCCTTTTCGGTGATTTAATTTTAGGAATACTCCATGGATTGTTACTTCAGACAATATTGGCAAGACCGAAGATTATCATTTTTAGGACCAATAAAGTCGTTATCATTATCGATTAAAATGTTAGAAAGGATATGGAGACCCGACACTTATTTTTACAACGGAAAAAATTCTTACGTTCACACAATAACCGTTCCAAATAAATTATTAAGAATCAGCCAAGACGGTGGAATTTTATACTCGATGAGGTGAATAATTAGTGTTAAGATATAAATTCACCAAATGATTAACGTTCGTAGTTCCTTATTTTAATTGTCTTATTTAAAAAATGATTAATATAAACGACCTGTTTAATAAATCATCCACAAATGGAAAGTTTGTCTAAATAAATCCAAACAAAGCGTTTAAAGAGATATCTCGTTTTCTCCGAACAAAATAAAGCAAAACGACCACAATACGAATGATAAAGAGAATCAATCGGTGAGATAAAATTGATCGAATTCAATTAACTTTCCCCCTTTTCAATCGAAAGCTTTAATGAGAAATTAATAAAGAATGGTTATAAAAAAATAATTCGTTGTAAATTTTTATGATAAAGCACGTTTTTTTTTCATATTTTATTATATTGAGATTTATTTGAATTATTTTTTTTGTAGACTTACTATTAAAGCTAAATGTCCAATGGAACTTAGAACATTTCCGATGGATCGTCAATCTTGTCCATTAATATTAGGAAGTTGTAAGTATAGATTTTTACTCTGGGCTCCATGTATGATTGCACCGCGTTATACATCACTTGAATAAGCGACATTTTATCGTTTCTAGAGATTTTCATGCTGGAAACTAGAAAGATTCGGGTTTAGTCGTGAAAAAAACTTTTAGTTATCAATGTCAACTTTAATTTTATTATTATATTCGTAATCTTCATGAAATAACCTTTAAAATGAGCCCAAACTCGACATATTTACCTTTAATATTAGTAGAAATACTATCACTTCCGGTTTGAAACGTCAACTTCAATTTTGACATATTTGTCATCTTCATTAAAAAACCTTTAAAATGAGTCCAAAGATGACGTACTTATCTCAAAAAACAAAAAAGTTAGAATAAAAAAACATTAAACCCGAAGTTGGCAACAATGAAGATAGCAATTTAATTCTTAAATTTTAATACCAACCTCAACTTTTTATTTTTTTTTGTATATTTTTGTTTTTATGACAAATATTAAGACATTTTATAAAAATTAAGAATATGTCAAAATGACATTGACATTTCAAACCGGAAGTTGCTTATATCTCGAGTAATATTGGAATTAAACGTATCATGTTTGGACTCATTTTAAAGGATTTTTCACGACGATTACAAATATGTCAAAATTGACGTTGACATTCTTAACCGGAAGTTGACCATAACTTCATTAATATTGAAGATAAATATGTCGTGTTTGTACTCATTTTAAAGGATTTTTAATGAAGATTACAAATATGTCAAAATTGAGGTTGACATTTTAAACCTGAAGTTAGTTATCATATAATAGAAAAATGGACAACTTCATGGTGTTCTTTCATGATGTATTCTTTATTAAAAAAACCTTTAAAATGAGTCCAAACATGACGCACTTATCTCAAAAAACAAAAAAGTTAGAATAAAAAACATTAAACCCGAAGTTAGCAACAATGAAGATAGCAATTTAATTTTTAAATATTAATACCAACCTTAATTTTTGATTTTTTTTTTTTATATTTTTGTTTTTGTGACAAATATTAAGACATTTTATAAAAATTAAGAATATGTCAAAATGACATTGACATTTCAAACCGGAAGTTGCTTATATCTCGAGTAATATTGGAATTAAACGTATCATGTTTGGACTCATTTTAAAGGATTTTTCACGACGATTACAAATATGTCAAAATTGACGTTGACATTCTTAACCGGAAGTTGACCATAACTTTATTAATATTGAAGATAAATATGTCGTGTTTGTACTCATTTTAAAGGATTTTTAATGAAGATTGCAAATATGTCAAAATTGAGGTTGACATTTTAAACCTGAAGATAGGTTACATGTAATAAATGTTTTATAACTGAAGTTAATCGTATAAAAAAATGTTTACACGAATAGTCTTAGAGAAGTCTTATATTTTTAGAGAGATGAAAACGAAAATCTCGTTTTTCTCAACATTATTCATTTGTCGCTTAGTCAAGTGATGCATAACGCGGTCTAATTATACATCCGTGGTTTTCTCACCTGTCCTATTCGTCTTACGTGGCCAAAACAATACCATGGGGATAAACCTAAGACAATGTCTAACACCTTTTTCCATGATGAACATGCTGCGTTAATCCTCGCCGCTCCCTCCACTCACTGGAACCCTTTCTTTTTAGGTGCCTCTCCAGGATTATATTTGCGTGTCACAATGTTTCTTGAATATAGGGATGTAAAATTTCTTTCCCAATCTGCTGGTATCCACCCTAGTCTTCATACCGGTTGGAAGAGTCCTTTAATTTCTTTGGCCAATGCCATACCTTCTGCCTTCACCATTTCTGGTACTGTTTTCATTCTTCATTTTCTTGATGTCATCTCGCTTTTCCTCGAGAATTATTGACTCTTTTTCTTCATCTCTGATTCTGATTCTTCACCTCCCGCCGTTTTCGGATTCCTCCATCCTTGAATTTCTCCTCATAATCAGTCCTACATACTTCCAGCAATTTTGCCGTTTGCTTTTTCAAGCTGTTCAAGCAGAGTTGTTCACTATTTTGACAGAAATTTATTTCCAAGTATTCCCGAAATTCTTCCCAAGAGTTTCTTTTGGGTATATTAATCATAATCATGTATAATTATACAGCCGTGGTTTTCTCACCTGTCCCATTCGTTTTACGTCGCCAAACCAAAACAATGGGGATAAACTGTCCCTCGTCTAACACTTTTTCCACGACGAACATGCTAGAGGTCTACTCGTTAAGCCTCACCGCTCCCTCCACTATGGACTTGATGGCCTGCATCAGTTAGACACCTCTCCAGGATTCTGTCAGCGTGTCACAGCGTTTCTTGTATATAGAGATGCCAAATTTCTTCGGAAAATACCTTCTGCTCTCCCCATTTCTGGTACTATTTTGTCCTCCCCAGCTACCTTTTCATTCATCATTTTCTTGATGGCACCTTTCTCCTCCTCGAGAGTTATTGACTCCTCTTCTTTATTATTGAATTTCTCCTCATAATCCCTGTTTCTAACAATTCTACCGTTTCCTCTTTCAAGCTATTCAAGCACAATTCTTTACCATCTTAACAAAAGTTTCTTTCCAAGTTTTCCCCAAAAAGTTTCTTTAGACCAATTTTACTATTCTCTCTCTTTCTTTCCTCTTCTAAACATACTCTTCATACTTTGGTTGCTGTCTTGTCCTCCATGTCGCCTTCTTTTCTGCTATTGCTGCCCTGACTTCATCATTCAACCATTTTGATTCACATCTTTCCTCGCCATCTTCTCTCCACAAGATTGTTCCATTTCAATATTCAATTTATTTAAAGTACCTAAAAGATATATTAAAAAATTATTTTTTTAGATGCTTATACAACAAGAGAATTAGTTTACCAATGGCAAAGTGGACAAAGTGTCAATTTTGTGCCAGGAATGACACTATCCCAATTCGATTTAATGAGTTTCCCATATAGGAACTTTACTTTTACGAGAAGAGAAGGTGCATTTCAATAATTTTCGTTTAATTTTTTAAAATTTTTAATTTAGGCGATTTTTCCGTCCTGCAAGTTTCGTTTAATCTGCAAAGACACACTGGGTACTTTTTAATCCAAGTTTACGTCCCTTGCATATTAATCGTCGTCCTTTCGTGGGTTTCTTTTTGGATCCATCGAGAAGCCACCAGCGATAGAGTTGGACTTGGAATAACAACCGTTTTAACTTTATCCACGATAAGTTTAGATTCTAGAACTGATTTACCGAAAGTTCGGTATGCAACCGCTTTGGATTGGTTCTTATTGATGAGCTTCTTTTATTGCATCGCAACTTTACTCGAATTCGCCGGGGTTCATTATTTCACGAAAGTTGGAAGCGGTGAGTTACCATTAGAAGAAGAGGAATGGGAAGATATCGAGGAAGAAAGTGATGATGCTTTAAGTGCTGATTCTGAAGATATTGGGATGATGGAAAATAGTTTTTCGCCGAGTCATTTGCAATTGGGAAAAAGGAAAATTACGCATATTTGTCCAGTTTTTAATGTAATTATTTTGAATATTTATTTGATAGGAATTGTAGCTTTTTTGTTTAGGATCCGTCCTTACATTATGAAAATCGAAAAACTTCTTTAATAGCGAACGCTCAACCTTCCTCCCAACCGACGATTAAACTAACAATAGAAAAAACGACCCAAACCGAAACGAAACTCCCAAAGTGGCGCCAATTTCTTTATTGCCTCAAAGGCGATGATAAATTTCGTAAACAGCGACAAAGAGAAGCTTCCGTAGCCCACGGGAATCATGATCATGGTTCAAGACATATCAATAGTGTTTCTCATATAGATCGAATGGCGCGGGTTTTATTTCCCACCACTTTTGGGTTTTTAAACTTGTGTTATTGGCTTTTTTACATCACTTATCAAGATGATTTTAATTGGAGTAACACCAAGCTGCATTCACTTAGTCATTAAAAAGAATTTGCTTAAACATGCAAGTTGGAAAAAATTATCTGGAGTTAGAATGTTGAAAATGGTAATTCATCAATTCTTGGTGCTTAAAAAGATATTACTCGTTTAGTGTTAAATAAATAAGCAGAAAGTAAAAAGTAATTGTTAGTAGTGGTGTATTTAATTAAGTAAGATGATGGTAAGGAAGAACGTTTTTGAATTTGCCGCCAAAAATGAAGTATTATTTCTTTTTTAAAACGTATTATGTACCTAATTTAAGATAAATCTTTATATAAATAACTATATTATAAAAATAATTAATAAATTAAAAATATCCTTAAAAATATCATTTAAATTGTAATTTTATTTAGTACGAAATTAGTTACAAATTGAATCTCGAGTAATATTGTAATTAAACGTATCATGTTTTTATTAAAACTCGTAAAAAAAACTTTTAGTTATCAATGTCAACTTTAATTTTATTATTATATTCGTAATCTTCATAAAGTAACCTTTAAAATGAGTCCAAACTTGACGCATTTATCTCAAAAAACCAAAAAGTTCGAAATCTCAACTTTTAATTTTGACATATTTGTCAACTTCATAAAAAATCCTTTAAAATGAGTCCAAACTCGACATATTTAACTTTAATATTAACGGAAATACAATCACTTCCGGTTTGAAACGTCAACGTCAATTTTGACATATTTGTCATCTTCATTAAAAAACCTTTAAAATGAGTCCAAACATGACGCACTTATCTCAAAAAACAAAAAAGTTAGAATAAAAAAACATTAAACCCGAAGTTAGCAACTATGAAGATAGCAATTTAATTTTTAAATTTTAACACCAACCCCAACTTTTTATTTTTTTTTTTTGTTATATTTTTGTTTTTGTGACAAATATTAAGACATTTTATAAAAATTAAGAATATGTCAAAACGACATTGACATTTCAAACCGGAAGTTGCTTATATCTCGAGTAATATTGGAATTATTGGATTTTTCACGACGATTACAAATATGTCAAAACTGAGGTTGACATTTTAAACCTGAAGTTAGTTACCATATAATAGACAAACGGACAACTTCATGGTGTTCTTTCATGATGTATTCTTTATTAAAAAAGCTTTAAAATGAGTCCAAACATGATGCACTTATTCAAAAAACAAAAAAGTTAGATAAATATATTAAACCGGAAGTTAGCAACAATAAAGATAGCAATTTAATTTTTAAATATTAATACCAACCTTAATTTTTTATTTTTTTTTGTTATATTTTTAAGAATATGTCAAAATGACATTGACAATTCAATCCGGAAGTTGCTTATATCTCGAGTAATATTGGAATTAAACGTATCATGTTTGGACTCATTTTAAACGATTTTTCACGAAGATTACAAATATGTCAAAATTGACGTTGACATTCTTAACCAGTTAAGTTGACCATAACTTCATTAACTTAAACTGCATTCACTTAGTCACTAAAAAAAATTTGCTTAAACACGTTGAAAAAATTATCTGAACTTACAATGTTAGCTCATCAATTCTTGGTGCTTAAAAAGCAAAGATATTACTCGTTTAATGTTGAATAAATAAGCAGAAAGTAAAAAGTAAGTAAAAAGTAAGTTAGAAAGAATGTTTTTGAATTCTTTTTTTTAAACGTATTATGTACCCAATTTAAGATAAATCTTTATATAAATAACTATATTATAAAAATAATTAATAAATTAAAAATATCATTTAAATTGGAATTTTATTTAGTACGAAATTAGTCACAAATTGAAATTTTAAATATGAACTTATTTTTAAATTAATTATTTATTAAATGATAAAAATAAGATAAATAATTAATAAAATCGAATATTTGTTATTGAATATTGTTTTTATTAAGAAAAATATCTTTAATTGTTGAATTTAACAATCAGTGTAGGAAACATAAAAATTCCACGTGTTCCTATTGACAGGTGATCGTATGGTTCGGAACCGCACTAAATAAATTAAAAATCTTATCTTCTCGAAATCAAGCATCTGAAATTCTTGGTTACTCGTAATCTGATTGAATAAACGAGTTCCGAGTATTTTTCGAGAGTAATTTAGTTGTGTTATCGTTTTAAAATCGAATAATATGTAAATAAAATGGAGCCGAGAAGTGGCCGAACTGCCATGACAGATTTAGAGCGTCCATCCAGTTTTGGGACCCGTAGAAAAGTTTTCGTACGATGCGAGTTCCCTAAGGACGCATTCCCGGAAAGTCGGTGATGAGGCGGTCCGTTTAAGTGCCCGGATTCATTTCGGCCGGTATTCGTCGCGAAAGTAATTCAGTTTAGTACGGTATTTCGTGTTTGACGTGTGCTTCCCAACGGCAAATGGCCGAACGCCATTGCCAGCCGCGTTCGGAGGAAAAATGAGATTATTCAACAATTGTGTCCCGTAGAAACGGTCCTAGATGTTTTCAATGTTGCCCGGAGTAAAATAGGTAAAAAATTGGACGAAATTATTTCGAATCCATCCTTGGAAATGCCGATGGAAGTGTGACAAAAAAAAGAAAGCAATTCAGTTCTCTTTGTTGTCAGCCTGTTAGTTGACCTTGAACCACCCAAGAACCTAACCTCACGTTTGTTTACATTTTGACAGGAAAATTTTTAGGTTAATTTCAAGAAATTAACTTCCTTGTTTGTTTAATTTTAATATATTATCAGAAATAAATCAATAATTTATACCTTAATTTCGTTTAATTTTATTTATTTTTATTTTAATTAAATAAATAATCTGACATAATTGTTATAAATGATAATCATATTACAAGTGGTTCAAAGTATACAAAAAGCACTTCAATGGATCATTTAAACTAAAATAATAACTTAAATTATTATTTTTAGCGATCAGGATGGTTGTTGATGTTCTCGCGAAGCCCTACGTGAGCAAAATGCAACCGGCCGGCATGAACCCCAGAGAACTGTCGGAAAACGACGATCTGGCGACGTCTTTAGTCCTTGACCCATACCTCGGCTTCATCACGCATAAGATGAACATTCGATATCGACCGTTGCGAGTCAACAACGACGAGTTGAAACGCATCGTCGCTGAATTCATTCGCACCCAAAACTATGAGAAATCTTTCGCTCGCATTCAAAAGGGCGATTGGATGCCCAGACCGAAATCCAAAAACCAACAAAAAAGACTTGAGGAACATGTAAGTTAATTTTTACTTAAATATATTTAACCTCATTGATTTTTGTGTCAACAGATTTATAGATATTTAAGAGTATTTGATAAAGATTCCGGTTTTATGATAAAACCATGCTATCGTTATTCATTAGAAGGTCAAAAAGGAGCAAAAATATCAGCCACAAGAAAGTGGTACAAAAACGAAAAAATCGAATGTTTAGTGGGTTGTATAGCAGAATTAACCGAAGAAGAAGAAAAAATGTTATTACACCCAGGAAAAAACGACTTCTCTGTAATGTATAGTTGTAGAAAAAATTGTGCTCAATTATGGTTGGGCCCCGCAGCTTACATTAACCACGATTGTCGGGCAAATTGTAAATTTGTCGCGACCGGAAGAGACACAGCATGCGTAAAAGTACTTAGAGACATAGAAGAAGGTGAAGAAGTCACATGTTTCTATGGCGAAGATTTTTTCGGAGATAAAAACTGTTACTGTGAGTGTGAAACGTGCGAAAGACGCGGAACTGGGGCGTATGCAAAAAATTGCGAGAAAAAAGAAGAAAACGGGTATCGATTACGCGAAACGGACAATCGTATTAATCGTACCAAACGGAAATCGCAACCGTCGAACGGACACGTTCAAATGGGGAAAATCATCGCGCCTTTAAGTATTAAAGAGTTACGTCAGAAAGGTTTGACGAAGTACGACGCGGAAATGTTGATAGCGCAAGGTTGTAAATTTACCGATATCAATGATTTTCAAAAGAAAAATAGCGGTGTTACGGAAATGACGTTGAGGGAAAAAAAGAAACAACCCGAAAAGAAAGTTGTTAATGGGGTTAGTAATCATGTAGATAGCAAATTATCCAGGGCTTCGAGGTTGCAAAGACGACATGCCAGGCAAGCGAATCAAGAATTAATGGAACTTGAGAATCGAAACGTTTCAATTTCTAATTTATTGGATGATTTACAGAGTAATGCTAGTAGTAGTACTGGGTATAGTGATCATGATCTTATATCTGAAGGTGCTCAGGATAAAAAGAAATTTAATGATAGTCTTGAAGGTGGAAAAACTAATACAGGTAAGAATTAAAATATTTAAGGATTTAACTTAATAACTTAATTAATACATTAATACATCCTTGATTTATGCATCATATTCAGTGTACAGGGTGGTTCAAATTCGATATCCGAATAGGCTATCTCACAAGCTATAAGAGTTAGAAAGAAAGTAGCTTACATGTCATGATCTCGTTTTTCCAGAAACTGCTAACATAGAAAATAGCTTCGTAGAAATGCACCTCTCTAAACAAAAATTTCTTACTAAAAATTGAACGCATGTGGCGCCATCTGTTGGGGATATTTTGGAATTATTCAGCTAAGAACCGAACCACTAGAATACAGGTTGGATCGGGTTTATATATAAAAGTTCTAACCACAGAATAACTGTTTGTAAAGTGTTTGGAGCCACTATGGGACTCCAATTAACGTTCCGACTGGTTGGGAATTCCTCAGATGCAATTACACCTGTCAAATAATGCCGCCACATTTGAATATCACGGCATCATATGACATGTGAGATTGCTTCTGACGAGCTTCCAACCAGTGATAACGTTAGCTGAAACGAAGCTATAATGTCAATTATAATCTAATTATTTAATCATACCATTATTACTTTATTATACTCTTACCAAAAAATCACTTTAAAATGACGTTTTCATCTGTCATTTTGAACAAACTTCAACTTTTTAAAAGTTGAAGTTAGCGACAAATTTAAAAATATAACACGAATTGGAATCTATACTTTTTAAATTAAAAGAATGCTACTGGTAATAATTGTTATTGCTGTCTCTCATCGTTCCCACTATTAATAATATAATTATTAGGTTAATTAAATTATTTCACTATAGACGCTAATGCCATCTTACGGTGGGATTTCGACATACAATCAATCCCAAGTTCTCCTATCTAATTGTAATATCCCTAGGCTGCGACTGACTGTTAATGCCAAAAACCTCAAAGCGCTATCGTCTTTTCTTTTTCCCCTAGAGGCCAAAATTGAAAATATCATAAAACCAGCAAGTGCAATTATCTTGGTTATTATTATAGGTGGAGTATTATAACTAAGACATTATATGGACACTTTTTTACAGAGAATCTGATGACGTAGTCAAAAAAAATTTTCGGTTTTAGATTTTGAGATATTATGACAATATTCGTTTTTTAAATGGAAACAACCACTGATTATTCGCTTATTAAATTCGTTATTTTTTTCTGATTGCAAAAATATGGGATTAGATAGGTCTATTTCTTATTGTTTTAGAATAAATTTAAAAATAAACTTTTTTTTTAGTGTCGTCAAAGAAATTAAATTTACAGTTTCCTGTAAGTTACGGTACTATAACTAAAAATTATTCTACTAAAAATGTATATAAAATTTACTTTATTTTCTAATATGTAACATTCTAACATGTTAAACTTTTCGTAAACCATATTAAAAAACAGGATTTTTAATTTGATACTTCAGAAAATTTTTGAATACCAACAAATGTTGCTATGTTTATTTGAATTAAAAAATATATATGTATATGAGCGCCATCTATCAATAATTTATTAAGTCATTTAATAATAATATTAAATATTAATAAAAAATGTGAAATAATGCAATCTATTCTAACTTTTGTGTAAAACAAATACAAATTAAATAGTTCAACAAATGTATTTGTTTCAAATATCAGAAATATGTTTTTTTAATTTTTAATTATAATTTACAGGAAACTGTAAATTTAATTTCTTTGATGACACTAAAAACAAGTTTATTTATAGCTTTACATAGAAAATATTTATATTATACTTATATAGAAGCACTACTCCGCACTATTTTATCGACCAAATTGAATGCGGCACCGCCAAGGGGAATGTAATAGAAGTAATTTTAATAAACCGCGAAATTTGAATGTGTTCGGTATATTTAGATATACATATATAGGTTTCACTTCTTCATATATCAGGTTTTCACTTCTTAGTTTAATTGATAAATAGAACACAATAGTTTATTAAGTAAATTTTTTTTCTTTAAAAAAATATGACCGGCTGGAACAGCCAATGTGTTCTTAGGATTTAGTTTTTTAGTTTTACCTTTCATATGTTATTTGTTCTTTTACAAAAGTTGAACAAAATTAATTTTACAAACATATTTATAATAAAGTTTGTGATGTCTTCTTTATGGCAAAGAAATGTGAAGTAAACATTATGCCTGACATTATGACATATATTATGACACTGACGTCGATTTCTGGTATATACAGGCTGCCCATTATGTATGGAATATAGTATACAGGGTGTATCTGAATGACTGCAACAAACTTTAAGGGGTGATTCTTTAGTGAATTTTCAGGGTACTTTGATATATGAACTATGGGCGACTTCGGCTCCCTTCAGGAGCTACACCCCTCCAAAAATGGCGGAAAATTTTGGTTTATTTTTTTTTTTCTCAAAAACCATAAACGCTAGGAAAATGAAATTTGGGGAATATGTTTAACTCATAATAGGGCACGTTTTGACCCTATTTGTACTTTCAACCTATCCTTCTAAACTACTAAACGTAACCTCCCCCGTTCAATTTATGCCTAGATTTTTTGTATGAAGATGATAAATACATTGGAAAAATTTCAGCTAGATAGATAAAACTATTCTAAAACTTTTTTATCTCTCTGATGTTCTTCGAAAAATTAATAATTACTGAGAAAAAAAATAATTAAGCAAACACTAACTGTTAAGCTGTGGGTTGTTAATCAAAAGTTGGAATGAATTTTTAATGAAAAAATCTTAGTAGGCTTTGCAATCTTTGTCAGAAATATTTTTGACGTTTAAATGTCAGTGGTTTTCGTACTATTATTATTGTTTTATTTGAAATTTTTAAACGTCGAGTGAACGAGCGTAACTGCGATAGAAGTTTATTTAAAAATTAATTTGAAAAACAATAATAATAGTAAGAAAGACAGTGACATTTAAACGTCAAAAATATTTCTGACAAAGATTACAGAGCCTACTAAGATTTTTCCATTAAAAATTCATTCCAACTTTTGATCGACAACCCCAATGTTTAACGTGGAGTATTTGCTTTATTATTTTTTTTCTCAAAAATTAGTCGTTTTTGGAAAAATTTTAGAGAGACAAAAAAGTTTTAGAATACTTTCATTTACCTAGGTAAATTTTTTTTAATGTATTTATCATCTGCATAAAAAAAATATTAGCAAAAATGTAAAGGGGGTGGTTACGTTTAGTAATTTAGAAGGGTAGGTTGAAAGTACAAATAGGATCAAAACGTGCCCTATTATGAGTTAAACATATTCCACAAATTTCATTTTCCTAGCGTTTATGGTTTTTGAGAAAAAGAAACTAAACCAAAATTTTCCGCCATTTTTGGAGGGGTGTAGCTCCTTAGGGGAGCCGAAGTCGCCCATGGTTCATATATCAAAGTACCCTTAAAATTCAAGTATTAAAGAATCACCCCTTGAAGTTTGTTGCAGTCATTCAGATACACCCTGTATATCTTGGTAAATATCAACTTCATAAAAAAACATTTTATACAAAAGTTGTTTAATATTTTATTTGCCATAATAAGAAAGCATTCAATTGTTTTTATTTCAGAAAACAAACGCGTGTTTTAGACTCACAAGCATCAAACAACCTAAATCAGACTGACGTTTGTCTGAATAAGTCATTAAACATTTATTTTCCATGGCACACTAGGTTAATATCGATATGATATGTGAACATTTTTCAAAAAACCCTAATTATTTCCCACACTATTTAATGTTAGGTATAGCACATATGGAATATAATAAAAGATGTAAAATGAGACGCCGAAGACGACTAAGCAATAAAATTTGGGGGGTGCCATTTAAAAAAATGAAGTTATGGTGCTTCAAAATTTCGAAAAATTAACGTGTCATAGTAAAGTGACCAAACGATCTAGACAGCCGTTCTCGGCACCAAAACATATTTCATCATGTTGCTTAAGCATGTTCTGAATCCTAAATTGATATCTCAAAAATCGAGTGTTCTCTGATTTTTTGAACAAATGTCCGCTGGAGCAGATTTTTCTAGAAAAATTCGAATAACTCGAGAACGGCTGAATCAAATTGCAAAAAGTAAAGTTATTGATAAACCTTGAAAACAGACAAATCCAAATATGTAAAAATATACAGGGTGTTCCATTTAAAAAAATAAAGTAGGTGGCGATTTCCGGTATAACCGGAAGTGCTAGAAATCTGAAAATATTTTAGATAATACTTAAGTCTGAATTCTCAAATTTCTATTTTATCCAGAACCCCAGAAACGTCTAATGACCGGTCTCGCTGAGACACCCTGAAGAAAAACCCGGGAAAATGAAGGAATAAAAAAACAATATTATGACTTAAAAATATTTTGTCCGTTAACTCCGAAATCTGTTCTAACGAGATCCAGTTTATAGAGATTTTACTATATTTATTATTTAACACATTTATTTTATAGGTATATGTATATTTTTTCAGATCCTGTTACAACTTCTGGCATAACATTACGTAGCAGTCGTAGATTATTAGAACCACCTACAGAAGTAACCCAAACAACTCAAAAATTAGATCAAGATATAGATTGTAATCAAAATGATAAAACCTCTACGACAGAAGATGAGAATTTAACGAAAAAGGTTGATCGAATAACAACACGATCAAGTTGCTCGCTACCAACCACTGCCAATAATTCCGAATTTGATTCGGATTCAACTAAAACCATAATCGACCTTCAATCTTCAAATGAAACATCATCAGAACTAGCGGTGGAAGTTCCCGAAACTGTTGTAGACGCAACATCAACGACTTCCGTTAATATTAATAACGTTGATGAAGAAATTGTAATTGATCAACCGGATGTTGGTTTAGATACTGCCATAGATGATAATAAAAATTTAGAAAATGATAATAAAGAGGAAAACCACCAAATGGTTGTTTATAATAATGAACAAACGGTAGAAAAAATTGTCGAAAAAACTCCGGAAAAATGTGGACGATTAAAATTAACTTTACGCATGAAACGTAGTCCGGTTTTAGATGAAGTAATCGAGTCGGGAAATAGTTTAAGTGAGGACAGTTATGAACCGGAATACGAAGTTTTAAGGGTTGAAGGTGTTGAGACAACAACGCATCATTCGTTTTCTCACCGAAAAAAACGACACAAATCGAAAGATAGGAAACGGGATAAAATTCGAAAACAAGAATTAGTTGTGACAAATCCACCAATGAAACGTTTGAGGCTCATTTTCGGGAACGAAACCCACACCATCGATATCCCGTCCACTAGCACCGATTAATTAAACTAATTATCATTATTTTTTAAATCTATTTATGTATAAACGTTGTGGATTTTTTTTTCTCTGTGGATTATTCTCCAACGTTAGAATGGTTGGAAAAAATGTGAATGTTTAATTCATTGTATTACATTTCTTATTTTTTGTTTACATTTATTTTTAAATGTGATTAGATATCGCAAAGTGATAAAGATTTTTTTAAATAAAGAAATATAGGTTTCTCCAAGTGGAAATAGATCTGAATTAATAAAAGTTCATTAAAATATTATAATAATAAATATTATTGTAATAATTAACTTGGAGAAAAAACCTCGTATGATAACTAAAAAGATTATTTATTTTTAAATAATGATTTAAACTATATATTTAGATGCAATATAGAATAAAACTGCACGTTTTAAAAGCGAAATGAAAATAAAAACTATTCTAATATTGTAATTAGTGCAAATTTACTATTTTTATTTGTGTCTATGTATATGTTGAGTTATAATTTTGTATTTTGTCATTCATCACTGTATATTAATAAGTTATCTTTGCGATATTTTGTAAATAGTTACTGTACATACTGTTCCAACTATACAAGACATTCCAAAAGAATCAATAAAAGCTAACTAAGTAATATTTATAACATTATCACTATTACATAGTTAAGAATCTGATTAAAAAAAATCTTTTTTGAAATGTTTTGTATAGTTCTTTTTATAAATGTAGCGAAAAATTGTTCAATATAATCTTTCAAATACTATGTGATATAAAAAAAAATCAACAAATTAATTAAGCAGTATTGTAGATTTTTTTTTCGCTTATTTCGTCTATTTTTTTATTAGGCAAGAGGCAAGTAATATAATCATCTTTTTTTATACACTTGAAAACGAAAAAAAAAAGTAATAATAATAAATAAACTAGACAATTTTTATGTAGATAAGTTTACAGCAAAGAGACATTGTAATTAATTTATTTTTATTTTAATAAATCCCTTTCAAATTCGTTTAGTTATAGACGATTTTAAAAAAAACACTTTCTTTCGAAATAAAATTACCTCATACTTTAATTTAAAACATTGGACGAGGAGTGTAATAATAATAATAAAATGAAAAAAAGAATAAAATTCTTGTTGAACTTATTACTGTTGAAAATTTTATAGCATACTTAAAGGAGAAAATGTCGTGTAAGTAATCGTAAGTGTATATGAGCATGTATTTCCAATTTGCTTGTATATAATGATTTATTCTAAGGATTAAATTGATAAATGGTATTTTTTAAATTAGACTTTTATTTTTTGAATTTATCTCGCCTAACTTCACATAAAACTTCTTTAAAACATGACATTCACAAAACTTTTTCGCACCTAACTTCATTATTGTTAAAATCACTATCAGTAAAATTAACATTTTGACTCACCTTTTTTTTAATCTCGTATTGTGTAGCTTGCGAAGTATAGTAATGGCATCAGCAATGGACGTGGATGATGAAGAAGTCGAAGTTCCAACCTCAAGCAGTTCGAAAGGGGAGAAAAAACGATTTGAAGTCAAAAAGGTGACATAACCTCAAAATTTTTCTCTTAATTCTATTTATATTATTTTCTTTAGTGGAATGCCGTTGCTTTATGGGCTTGGGGTAAGTTATATGATTAAAATATTTTATTGTTATTAATTTTTTTGTTATTAGATATCGTAGTTGATAATTGTGCTATTTGTCGTAACCACATTATGGATTTGTGCATTGAATGTCAAGCGAATCAAGCCTCTGCTACTAGTGAAGAATGTACTGTAGCATGGGGAGTGTGTAATGTAAGTATTTGTGAAGAATAAAACGATAAAATAATAATTTTTTTGTAATTTTTAGCATGCATTTCATTTTCATTGTATTTCGCGTTGGTTAAAAACAAGACAAGTTTGTCCCTTGGACAACAGAGAATGGGAGTTCCAAAAGTATGGTCATTAGTATGGATTGAATCTACGAGGATGTTTGTTTAAAAAATAAAACTCTTATTTATGTTAAATCCCAACGTTTTTCTTTTCGAGATGAGAATAAAACTCATTTTATAAACTTTTCGTAGTTTTTATTTCATTTTTAACCACCTCGCCAATTAATTTATTAAGACACCTTTTAATTTTATTTAAGGATTTAAAGGGGACAAAAATACAATTATTTTATCTTAAATACATTTAGGTATAGTAAATTTTTGTTGTCCAAGGGTTTTTTTCTTTTTGTTATGTGCCCATATTAAGTATCACAGTACTTAAGCAATAACTATTAATTTTATTTATTTACTTTTTTTCTATAATGATTAAAAAGATTGTTTGTTTTTATTGTCTTAATAAGAAAATTGAAATGAATAAAATATCTATGTTGCAGTCATCCTTTAATTTATAAGAGTAGGTATTAAAATACAGATACATACGTTAATAGAACAACAGAACATCATATATTAATATGAAATTCTATAATAAATAACATTACAAGAAAATTCTATGGATTAATTAATCTTTTAACGCACTATAACATAGGTAAGAAATGGAATTTACGTTAAAAATGTTTTAAAATAAATCTAAATGGGGCTAAAAATAATTAAGGAGTATTATACATCCTTGCAGATCCCAAACAATGATAACTTTGATAGCAGTATAGTTTAACCATATGAATATCACTACAAGAGGAAGAACAAAGACACGAGGTTACTCAAATCAACGAAATTGTCAGTTGTTACTTATTTAGATTCTTGTTACAAACATAATTTTTTTAATGAAATCAAATCCGAAATTATTACCATTTTAACTAATTAAGTACTATGATTTATGTTTACCAGAAAGTAGTAATGAGAATGAACCACCTCTGAAAAAGTGCCTGTCTATTTTTATCATAGAACACTGATGACTGCCATCACAAGCACAGAATCCGCTTAGTCACAAATACTAGAGTCAAAATGATGTTTCGTGATCACAAAAAAAAGACAAAAAACAAAAAAGATCACATATCAAAGTCTAAATCAGATTGTTACTTATTAATTTACAAAATTAAAGTTTAAAAAGTTGTAAAATGAAATCTTTTTTTGAGATCTTTTTTAACTAAAGAAATATTAAGAAACTTGGGAAAAGTTCAAAAATCATCATGTCAAGGCTTAAATATCGACGATTTTTTTTTAATCAATCTGAAATGACTAAAAAAACACGTTAAAAATAAAAAAAAAGTGCGGAAAACTGATTAACTTCAGTTATAAAACTTCTATTATATGATAACTAACTTCAGGTTTAAAATGTCAACCTCAATTTTGACATATTTGTAATCTTCATTAAAAATCCTTTAAAATGAGTACAAACACGACATATTTATCTTCAATATTAATGAAGTTATGGTCAACTTCCGGTTAAGAATGTTAACGTCAATTTTGACATATTTGTAATCGTTGTAAAAAATCCTTTAAAATGAGTCCAAACATAACTCATATTACTCGAGATATAAGCAACTTCCGATTTGAAATGTCAATGTCATTTTGACATATTCTTAATTTTTATAAAATATCTTAATATTTGTCACAAAAACAAAAATATAATAAAAAAAAAATAAAAAATTAAGGTTGGTATTAATATTTAAAAATTAAATTGCTATCTTCGTTGTTGCTAACTTCGGGTTTAATGTTTTTTATTCCAACTTTTTTGTTTTTTGAGATAAGTGCGTCATGTTTGGACTCATTTTAAAGGTTTTTTAATAAAGAATTCATCATGAAAGAACACCATGAAGTTGTCCGTTTGTCTATTATATGATAACTAACTTCAGGTTTAAAATGTCAACCTCAATTTTGACATATTTGTAACCTTCATTAAAAATCCTTTGAAATGAGTCCAAACATGATACGTTTAATTCCAATATTACTCGAGATATAAGCAACTTCCGGATTGAAATGTCAATGTCATTTTGACATATTCTTCATTTTTATAAAATGTCTTAATATTTGCCACAAAAACAAAAATATAATAAAAAAAAAATAAAAAATTAAGGTTGTTATTAATATTTAAAAATTAAATTGCTATCTTCGTTGTTGCTAACTTCGGGTTTAATGTTTTTTATTCCAACTTTTTTGTTTTTTGAGATAAGTGCGTCATCTTTGGACTCATTTTAAAGGTTTTTTAATGAAGATGACAAATATGTCAAAATTGACGTTGACGTTTCAAACCGGAAGTGATTCCATTTCCATTAATATTAAAGATAAATATGTCGAGTTTGGAATCATTTTAAAGGATATTTTATAAAGTTGACAAATATGTCAAAATTAAAAGTTGAAAGTTCGAACTTTTTGGTTTTTTGAGATAAATGCGTCAAGTTTGGACTCACTTTAAAGGTTATTTTATGAAGATTACGAATAAAATAATAAAATTAAAGTTGACATTAACACCTGAACATTTTTACTTAACGGTCTAAAATGTCAACCTCAATTTTGACATATTTGTAATCTTCATTAAAAATCCTTTAAAATGAGTACAAACACGACATATTTATCTTCAATATTAATGAAGTTATGGTCAACTTCCGGTTAAGAATGTCAACGTCAATTTTGACATATTTGTAATCGTCGTGAAAAATCCTTTAAAATGAGTCCAAACTTGATACGTTTCATTCCAATATTACTCGAGATATAAGCAACTTTCGATTTGAAATGTCAATGTCATTTTGACATATTCTTAATTTTTATAAAATGTCTTAATAGGTATTTGTCATAAAAACAAAAATATGATAAAAAAGAAATCAAAAATTAAGGTTGGTATTAATATTTAAAAATTAAATTGCTATCTTCGTTGTTGCTAACTTAGGGTTTAATATTTTTTATTCTAACTTTTTTGTTTTTTGAGATAAGTGCGCCATCTTTGGACTCATTTTAAAGGTTTTTTAATGAAGATGACAAATATGTATGTCAAAATTCAAGTTGAAAGTTTGAACTTTTTGGTTCTATTGTAAAACTAATTGTAATGGATTTGTAATGGATATAGTTAATAGTTTAATTTACTTCAGTTTTAAGGAATTTTTATTGACTTCAGTGTCACTCTCATCCTGGCAGGAGTGCCATGTAATAATTTGTGATTTTTTATGATTTTCTATGTTTTATTGAAAATACTTTAATTAATCTTAAACCATTTTATTTATAAGCAACTTAACAAATATCGATAAGTTCTCTATAGACAGTCAATCGTAGACTATCGTTAAGAACTTATCGATAGTTGTTAAGTTACTTATAAATAAAATAGTTTAAGATTAATTAAAGTATTTTCAATAAAACATAGAAAATCATAAAAAATCACAAATTGTTACAGTATAACGTGATTGGCGCTTAACTTTATCCTTTAAAACAAATAGTATTTTAGGTCTTTCGGTATTCTGAATTTTTTTAAGATAATTTACACCTCTACCTACCAGACAGCATGAAAATCTCTAAAAACGATAAAATGTCGCTTAGACAAGTGATGTATAACGCGGTTCAATTGTTCTCTAAGATTCTGAATGTCGTCGATAAATAAGTGTTCTATTTCTGTACAATTTCCACTTTCCTAAAGCTGGGTGTCCAGAAGGAGACTAAAATCTCATGAGAAATTTATCTCATTTCTGTGAAACATTCCAAGTTCAGACATTTTTCTTTCATGATATAAAAGTGTCTCTGAATACGATATTTCCACAGTTGTCAATGTTTTGTAACTAGAAAGAAACAAGAATTTGTGTTGTGATTTTATAAAAACATGTCAACAAAAAGCGCTAAAAAAAGGCAAAAAATAGTAAATTAAAAGAAATATAATCTTATAATATAATCTTTGAGTATTGGATCAATTTTGGATTAAGTTTTACTATTTGGACTCATTTTAAACCATTTTATACATCCTAAAAATAACAAATTCTTAAAAATATAAATAATAATTTGTGCGTTAAATGATTAAAAACACTACATATCTATTAATAAATAATCACAGATAAGTTTAAATTATTTAGTGCCGTTTTAATGTATATTTCTTCGATTATATATTTTTGTTTCGGTGATATGTTATAGATATTTATGATGTTCTGTTGTGAAATATAAACTCTATCAGCACCCTTTACTTTATTTTTATTTATTTTTCTTTATGTTCTATCTAATTTTCCTTTTTGCTTTCAAAAATCGTTTACATTGAAAAAATACGCATACGACGATTAACATTCATAACAAAGTACGTACTTGACGAAGTTAACAACGATCTCAGGATGAAGGCCATTTATCACATATACGGAAGCGGAAGTACGAAAAGAAGTTGTGTGTTCTTCTACGAGTCAATCCTAACAAATAAAGTTTATTTTTTTATTTCAGTCAATTATGTTATTTATTTATTTTTGCACCGGGAGGTTTTAACGTTTATTTTTTTAAATTAGAATACGAGGAAAGACGATAGGCCAGCGAGAGAACGTTTTTATAGGTTAATATCACAACACATAACGTGTTCTTGTATTTTTTTTTAAGAAATTTTTGGCAAGCTTATTTACTTTCTAAGCGGATGCCACATCGCTATTGGTTTTCTTAAAGCAATCAACATCTGATTCCAATGACTTAACGACCTTCCAGTTGCTTGAGCACCCACTATTACATGACCTATCGATAACGTTTTTGTACCTGATTCCGCTTTTAAAGTCTCCGATACCGTTAATCGCAATTGGATACCCTAAAAAATAAAAATTAACTTAATTTTAATATTGTTATTAAAAATTTACCTGTAAACTATGTAAAGGAACACTAAACATCATCGCCTCGTTAAATATCGGTGACATTTCGGTCTTTTTTATCGAAGTTTTTTTCTTATGAATTTTTTTACCATGTTGTAACAAATAAACTTTTACAAACGAATCGCCGACTTCATTTTGAAACTTTAATTTTCTCGCTTTTACTACAACTACGGTTAGTCTTTCAGCTGTTGGTAAATAACTAAGTGAGAACATTAATTCTCCAAAATGAGTCTCAATCTAAAATAGTGAAATTATTAGATTATTTTACTATAAAATAAACTAAAATTACTTGTCCAGTATCAGTTAAAGTAATCCATGTAGTGATTGGCTGTCGCAAGCTAACATCTGATAACCTTATTTCTCCTTCCCCAATTAAGTAATGACCCAACTCCCCAGCCCCAAACACCTGAAACGATAACGTCTTCTGTTGTTGTTCCCTCGGATTTAAAGGGAACAAAAATCTTTCTTTGTAGCAAGGACTTCCAGCTGATCGATACGTCTTCGTTTGAACGCAAGCATCGTTATCTTGTTCGCAAAAAACCTAAAATCATCAAAAATAACTCACTATTTACTTACCTACTATTTATTTACCTTAACATAAGTTTCAACCTCTGATGATACATGCGATGGTAATTTTAAATCTTTCGCCTCCAAGATATTAACAATTAACTCACAATATTCGGCATCGAATTCAAATCCAACGCAAAGATTTCCGGTTATATTAACGTCCTCCAGGTCGTCCAAACCGACGGAAGTGTCCGAACAGATTGTTTCACAAGAAACCGCTTTTTGAATCGTTTCTGGAATCACTTCTTCGTCGGCTTCTTCGCAACTGTTTTCGCTGAGTAACGTTGATTGAAACGAAATTGGTTTGCGAACGACGGCGTGAATTGAAAGCGGTTCTGAATTAGCTCTTGGTAATAAATCGGCAACGTTTATCGAAGACTTCGGTCTCGGTATAGGACAAATTGAAGTTTCAAAATTTGAAATTTTGTAGTGATCCGATCTGAAATGCGTGGCGGTTCTTTTATGACTAACCAGGATTTTTTTTTGAAAAAAAATGCTTAAGTACCTCGAATGCTCTTGTAGCGGTCCAGTTACATTGTCTACAAGGCGCACTTCTGGAGGGGCTGCAGCCGCCGCCGTGAATGAGTTTAAGTGGTTTTCCCTCATTTCCAAGCTAGGCCAGTCGCCGTTAAAGCTTGTCGTCAACTCCATTGTTACACCCACGTCCTTATCCACAGGCTCAAACCTTTTGAAACTTCCGCTAGTTCCTAATTGGATATCGGAATCTGAATGAATCTAAAAAGAACACATTATTTAAATACTAAGCAATATTTTGTTAGCATTTAAGAAAATTACAAAGATTCATAAAAAATATCAGAATGTGAAGAAGATCCACAAAATGATATTGAATACCTAGCAAGTATGGTAGCCATTTCAAAAGTTTTTCAATTACCATTAAAGTTAGTCAAAGTAATTGGGATTGGGAGTATTTGGAAATCATTGCTAGATATAAGGAGCTATTCAGACAGCAAAAAATATATTACAGAAGTTATTGCATTATTTCAACTAATTTTCTATCGATTCTAGATAAATTAAGTTTCATCTCCATTGGTTGAAATCAGTTTTCATTTAATTTCCATTATTGTCAATCAATTTTAAGTGAATTATAATCAATTATGGGTCTATTCCAATCAATTTTCATTACTTCAAGTCAATTTTAAGTCAGTTTCTATCAATTCTAGTCGAAATATGTACATTTTCATCGATTTCAGATCGTTTCCATTGATTTCAATCAATTCTGAGTAAATTTGACACATGACATATTTGACAGATTTTGACATATTTGACATATATATATAATTTAAGTGAATTTTCGATTTGAGCTAATCGCAATTAATTTTGAGTCTGTTTTGATTGTTATAAATAAATTATGAGTGAATTAAAATCAATTTTATAAATAAAATAATTTATAAGTATAATTTTTAAAAAATCTAGTCAATTTCTAAATCTGCGTTTTATGATTCCAATCATTTTAAATTAATTTTAATCAATTTCAAATGTTTTTTATTTACACTTTACAACAATAACTTAATAATAATAATAATAACATATAAATAAACATTTATTTATTTTTTAATTTTGAACATTAGATCAAAAGCATCAAAAGTATCATTTGGTTCATTTGAACTTTAGCGGACATATTTGTTTACCGGTCGATATCATTGATTGTTGAGGTTAAAATAAATTAATTACTTGAGAGAAAATAACTCTTATTTAACCCGTTAAATGAATAAACTGAACAATGAAATAGGTAAATAATAATAACGTTGTTATTTTAATTATAATTAAGCCTTAAAACTTGTATTAAACTTGTTTATTTTTATAACTTGTTTTATAGGTTAGGTTCTTGGAGTACTGTGGAATTTATATATCAGGAACCGGACTTTCAAATAAAATCAAAGCTTGGTTGAATTGTATCGATGTTTACTCACTCCAATTTAATTAAAACATTCTTGGAGCAGACCTCTGTGAAAAATTTTTTGAATCAAAAACCATGTTTATTTAGGTTATATTTTAATGAATCGCTTAATTTAGCTTATTCAGAGGGTAAAAATCAACTGTTTACTTGGATTATTATATTAATTCAGATTGAATTGGAATCCCCAATTGGATTAAAATGAATCAGGTTAAACAAATATAAATTATAAAAGGATCAACAGCAAAAAAAGCTGTCAAAAACTTTGAGGTCATGTAAATCAGAATCTCAATTTTTGATCAATTTTGAATCGGTTTTAAAGAATATCTTTATATTAACTTATATCATTTAAAACATTTAATCTAAAGAAAGCAATAATAATGCAAATTGATTAAATTTTGCATACACATTTATTTAACCATGATTAAAATTAATTAACCTCAAATAAAATGATTTTAATTCCTAAAACGCCCATCTATTAGCCTTCTATCTGTTCATTTGATTGCCCTGGATGTCCTTTAAATTAGATATTTGCGGTTGAAAAGCCATTGTGTTACTGTTAGGGTAACAGTAGTTTCGAATGCCAAAAGCATTCGATACGAACCCAATTCAAAGCCCCTTATCACGTTCGATGTGTACAAAGCGAACGGAAACAAAACGAAAACTTCTCTACGATAATATTCAATAAAATATGATTTTTTTATTCTTACCAAAAATCCGTTAGCGTTATAATGTCCTTTAGCTCTTGTTAAAACAACTTTTTCTTCTTTAGATGAATGTAACCAAGCAGTAACATAATCAACCATATTCAAAGATCTACATAGTACAAATAGAGCGACTGCTATTATTGCGATAATACACAAAACGGCCATTATTGCATGTATGATCGTCATCTGGAATAATTAGAAATGTTCATTTAGAACAAAGGTGTCGGGTAATTACACCTATCGTGACTTCCATATTAATGAAGAAACAACTCATTGAAACTTTTCAAATCAGATATACACCAAGAGACGTTTCACTATTTTGTATAACCCGTTTACATCTTTTGTTAAACATTCCACGAGTTTGCTTTCATCAAAATTACAGAACCTTGTAACATCTAAAGGACAATTATGTGATTACAGCTTCAATAGACCGCACGATTTGATTGAAAAACTAACGTATATACATATTTATTTAGTATCGATTCAATTAAATAGAAATCAAGAACAAACGGGAAACGCATTTCAATTATTAAATTAAACTACTTTAACAGGCGCATCCGCCACAAAGTGATATTGATAAAATTTAATTTTATAGAAATTAGTATCGAGTTTCACTAAATTTTTTATTACTATCCAAGAAATTCTATTGAAACGAAGATATCATTTAATATATATAATTGAAACTCACCTTGAGATGGTGGAAAAATGGAAATCGACCGGATTTTGTCGACGTAACCGGATGATTTTCCGGGATGTTGCATGTACAAATGGGGGGCGATTACGTTTCCGTTGCTCCTATGGGACGTTGTGGGGGGCACACGCCGCGAAACTCTCCGGCCGATTCTCGTTGCCCACACGTTTTTGACCTCGGACGTCGTTCACATGCCGTCGCGGCGGAAGAGAGAGCGCCCCGACGGTCGGTTTGCACCCCCACGATCGCCCCGAAACCGAACGGAAACACTCGGATAGGCGGAGTTGCTTTGGACATGCGCCTGATGATGAAATAATTTTAAAACAATAACAGAAATAATAAAACAAAAGTTTAAATACATTTATTGCTTTGATAGAGTTTTTATTGTATTTTGAAAGTTTTCTTGAATTTCAACTTGGTGTTCTTGTGCAAATTTGCTAATTTCAGCAAATCTTATTAGAAAATTATCTGGAAGTGAACGAAGCATATTTTCTAGTTCAATTTCTATTTTATTCGTAGGATATGCGCTTGATGCCTAGATATAATCAAAAATATTTATAGATTCACAAAAATAAGAAACTTACCTGAAATGTAATTGTCAAGGTGATAATTAAAAATGCGATTTTAATTCCCATTTTCTTCGTGATATAATTATTGTTCTAAAAAGCAATTATAAGACTGCTACTTCGTTATTAATAATAATTATTATCAATGTTCGAATTAAAAATAAATAATTTAGGTCAAGGTCTTTTGCGTTTTAAGAGGTTGTATGATAATCATGGTTCTAAATTAATTAATAATAGTTGTGTAGTTCAAAAAGAAATGTATTTTTATAATGTTTGTGTTTTTTATTTTAGTTGTAGACCCGAAAGATGGCACAAACTGAATTCTTCAAACCTCAGTGAGTTAAGGCGACGATCACCGCAAGTTCAATTGCAGTTTCAGTACACAACTATTCCAGAACTTGAATAAAGGCAACTTCAACTCTGACAAATATGGAAAATATTTCTGCTATGTTAATGGATTTGAGTTCCAAACCGGAATCTATCAATACTGAACGCAATTTCGAAACGTTGTGGTATGAAAAACGAAAAAATGTAGAGAGATGTAACGCTGAACCCTCGATTCTTTATTAGAATCCAGAAAAAACTGCACTGTTTTTAAGGTAAGCTATTATACTAGTGAGTTATAAAGATGTCAATTTAATTCACAAGAAAGTACCTCCTTTTCCATTTATTGGCATAAAGAGAAAGTTCAAATTAAATATTTTATGTTGTATCCGTTGATAATTTTACTAAGGTGTCTCTACCCAACCTCAACACCTACCCCAAGTTCCTGATCTGTACAGGTCAAATAAGCGTGTAAAGATTTGTGGTAAAAAATGTATCCTCTCACCCCATCCCCAGACCTGTCCCATAACCTTAATCGCTTTCACTGCCATCTCAGGGTGCCTAATTTGACTATACATAATTGATCAATGTTTCAGGGTGGGCTATGAGAAAGTTAATGAATTAATGATAAAAGTTTGTGAAGCTATTCGAGAAATAATGGAAAGTATGGACATAATGAATACCTGGACATATTCTCAGTTATAGACTTTGTCCCATTTTGTGTATTTTTAAAGAAGAATTGGTGATGATAAATTATAGAATGAACAGAATAAATTCCTCAACATTTATAGCAAACACTTCATCCAAACCAAGATTGCTGGCACTTACAAGATTTATTCACCTATACTAGGTAAAGAAGATATACAGTTACCATTAAATTAAGAAAGACAAGTTTGTATTTCGTCTCTGCTTATGAAAAATCTTCAATTGATAATCCTTTATAAAAATATATGCATCAACCATCAGAAGTCGTTCTAGAACTGAAGACTCAGGAAGGCCAGGAAGAAAATAATAAAAGCGCAAAAGTGTAAGTAACAATTTACATTAACCATAATATAATTTCTAATTTAGATAGAGTAATAAATTATTTGTTAAACACTGAGGTTATAATAGGAAATAATACGTATAAACTTTCAGTAGGATTATTGTTGGCCACACCACAAACATGGATTTAATTACGTCCACATAACTATATAAATGCATTTTGTAGAGTTGCGTGTCGCAGATATACCCCTGCAGCAACATGGTAATTCTAAAACGATTAATTAATTTTAACAAAGCACATTTCGCAGAATCCAACCGAGACTAATTAAACACCCAAACATTTGGAAATAAAATGAAAAATAAACGCGAATTACGAAGGTTAAAGGGCACGAATACAAAGGTATAGAGTAAATAATAACACGATTCTTTTGTTGCAAGTCTTCTAATCGATCCCTTTTTTTACACACTCGACAGTATACATCTCCTTTTTAATCTTTTTATGTGCTCGAAATAGCCTCGTAATTCTGTTATGTGATTGTTGGGGACCTGAATTCAATCAGTTCTTTAGTTAATGGATCGTAAAATAGGTTCTAAGAAGTTTCTCAACAACAGAGTGTTTATAGTCGATAGGAATAATGTATCATTTTAGGAAAATAATTAAGTTTTAATTTAAACGTAAATGAAAAAAAAAATCCTCCCTGACATTTACAAATCCTTTTTCGACAAAACGAAATTGATTCTTTAAAACCTCCCAAAAAAGAAACAAACCTCTAAACACGAGAGGTTTTAGCTTCAACTTAATCCCACTCGTTAATTAAACGATTTGCATTTGGGAAATTTGCATATCGAAATCTCTCCCGATGGATTTCGATTGCGAACGGCGACGCTGAAGAAGTGGGAGATAGTGAAAGGGAAGGGGCGTCGCGACGCCTCCGTTTCGACTAAATAATAAGCGCGCGGACGTTGTGATTAAAATTTATCGCTCGTAATCCGTTCTACGCGGCACGAAAGCTCTCGAAACCGTACGAAGATAACGCTAGCCGACGCTTGGTGGGTGCTTTCGCAAACTTTCTCACTGAAAGTGCACGCCGACGTCGCGACGTCTCCGTTCATCTCTTCTTTAAAGTGACGTAGAATTTCCCGACAGCTGTTAGGTTTTTGCAACGAAAGTTTTTAAAGTACAAGGTCGACAGTTTAAAAAAAAAATAGGGTAAGATTTTTTAAATCAAAATTTATTTTATTGTAACAAGAAAATATTATGAATTATTTTCAAATTTTTGTGTTATTAATTTTATTGACGATATTGATACCATTGATTATATTGACGGAAGAATTGTTTTGTTGATGTGAAAAATAATGTTATTAATATCGATTTGGTGCTTATCTCGAGACGGTTATAGCATATTTTATGTATTTTCGATAAGGGTATGTGTGCACAATGCTTGGTTGGTGAACGATTTGCGATCGTTTTACGTTTATTTGAAACGTTTTAATTAGTGTGGTTAAAAAAAATAATTATCGACCTCAAGATATCATTTTTAGAAAGTTATGGAAAAAATTAGACTGTTTATTACACCGATTTCCGACATCAGTAACCTCATCTTCAGGCATTTCTTAGCTATTATTAGTTGAATTATAGAATACGCGAAGTTATACAAAATTAATACAAAATGATATTTCTTTACTGCTTGATCAAATAATGTCCCATGAGAAAAAAAGATATCTTGGAAACTTTTCTTGAAGAAATGATCTTTTGGATTCATGGTTAAAAGAAATATGATGAAGTAAATACAGAAATACATACCATGTGTAAATTATGAGGATTTTTTGATTTTTTTTTGCTGCTACAGAGTTAGGCTGAGTTAGGCTTATATGAGTGAGGCTAATCATGGTCAATGGCTATGTGATTCGAATGGTGACTTTGTGAATGTGATACAATTCCTCCTTCTGATTTCACTTAGAGTATTCAATTTACGCTGAGAGTAGAGACATCACCATGTTGAAGATGAAGTTGAAGAAATTGGACATTCTTTCAAGATTTGACGCATATTCTAAACAGTTCTTTGCTAGAAAATTATATTCTAGAATACCTGTACTCTCAAAGCTTCTCGAAAATGTAATAAAAACTAATTTAAAGTCTGCTGATGAATAGACTGAGGTTGAGTCTTCGAATTTGAGGATAATAATCAAAAATCATGCCTTAATTTTGGTTTTCATCGCTGACCATAATGGATACAGTTCGTAAATACAAGAACAAATTTTCTAGGATTATGTGTAGTCTTGTAGTCCAAGAATTGCAATGTATTGATGTCCTTATATTACAGACACCTTAATTTTAATGCCCTTCAACTGTTCTGAAAAACATTCTATGTTGAGATTAAGCACCGATGATCCAGATGTATGACCTAAAGACAATTTGGAGCAGTTTTGTCAGTTTTTGTAAAAAGAAATTTGTGAATTTACATCGCTCCGCATCATTATGGAGTTAGTTAAAAAATGCATAAACAAATATCGGCATTACCAACCCAACCTAAGAAAAATAGAAATTTTGACGTTTTCAACATTTTTCTTTTATAACTCATTAATTATATCTGATGAAAAACAACTTTTCTTACAAAAAATATTTAAAATGAATCCATAAAACATATCCAATAAGTTATTTTATTCCATCGATCAGTAGTACCAACCGAACTCAAAAATAAAACCAAATTTTGATGTTTTTGATCATTTTCGGTTATAACTTATTAATTGTGCATGATAGAGAATTATTTTTTAAACAAAAAATGTTTAGAATTAACTCATAAGACGTATTCACTAAAGATATTTATTCCATCGATCGGCATTACCAATCCAACTTAAAAAAAAAAGAAGAAATTTTAACGTTTTCAACAATTTTCTTTTATAACTCATTAATTACATCTGATCGAAAACAACTTTTCATACAAAAAATATTTAGAATGAATCCATAAAACATATTCAATAAGTTATTTTATTCCATCGATCAGTAGTACCAACCCAACTCAAAAAAAAAACAAGTTTTGATGTTTTTGATCATTTTCCGTTATAACTTATTAATTGTGCATGATAGAGAATTATTTTTTAAACAAAAAATATTTAGAGTTAACTCATAAGACGTATTCACTAAAGATATTTATTCCATCGATCGGCATTACTAACCCAACTTAAGATAAATAGAAATTTTAACGCTTTCATCAATTTACAGACACCTTAATTTTAATGCCCTTTAACTGTTCTGCAAAACATTCTATGTTGAGATTAAGCACCGTTGATCCAGATGTATGACCTAAAGACAATTTGGAGCAGTATTGTCAGTTTTTGCAAAAAGAAATTTGTGAAGTTACATCGCTCCGCATCATTATGGAGTTAGTTAAAAAATGTATAAACAAATAAATAATTGTTGACAAGGATTTTTTAAACTTTTCCTTCACTTGGAATGAATCAGATATTATTCTCGTGGCTGGTTCAGTACCCTAACACTTTATGTGAGGTGATTATTCATGAAATGAGCGACAAATTATGTCGACGATTTAAATGTTATAAATGGAGCGCCTCAAGGCCCATATTGTTATTTTTGTTGTGTTACATATACGCATCTTAACTCTTCAAACAAATTCATAATTGTAAACTAAAGATGGAGACGATATGGATCTACATACATTATTCCTTGTTAATGTTAACGAGACGGAAACTAAGTGTTGAAAAGATATATTTTGCAACGATCATATTTTATTCATAAATATTGGCTGAATGAAAATTAATTTTACTTTATTCTATTAAAATTTGATGGATTATTGAAGTTATTCAAAGTTAAACAACACCATCAATAGCCGTGATCCTTCCCTAGACAAATACGTCCGTTCATGTCAATAACAGACCAAAAGCAAACAGGGGCGCAACCTAAACAAACAACTATTATGTGATCATTCAACAAACTTCTGTTGGTCCTTTTGTGGTTTAAAACAGATTAGAGATTTTAAAACCAAGATTTAGCAAAAAAGAGAATAAAAACGTCTTTTATTTTAATTAAATTATTTTTTTATTTTAATTAATCATTTTATTAACGAAATGTTATTTTATAATTGTCGATAGAGTTTCATTGCTTCAAACCAAAACATCCAACTTCCATTCGTGTTCCTGTTGTCATCGAAACGGAGCCGATGCCATGACAACCGTTCTAATTTTACCTCGACAGCCTCACAAAAGAGCAAACAAAGAGCATAGCGGGGCAACATCAATTTTCATCCAACCCCCAAAATTCGGAGATACAAAAAATTATGCCATCTATCCTTTATAAAAATCGCATTTAATACTTGAAAGCTACGTTACATTTTAATTTTAAAAGATCTCGTTGCCAATAATTTACACTTTCCTACTTGTCTCATTTTACAGATACGGATATTAGAGGAGCGCCGGAAACGGAAGCTACCGGAAGCGGAGTAATGGTTACTTCGGCGATTTTAGGTGCAGCCGCCGGTTCAGGGATGGCGCTGTTCGTTGGTTTAACGATTGTTATCTATCGATATTATTATCAAAAGCGCAGAAGCAAACTTTGGGCGAACTTGGATAGGGTTTCGTTGGAGGAGGAAGGGGTTTTACAAAAGAAACCACTTAAAGGTTTATATCCAATTCCACATAAGGTATGAAAAAAAAATAACAAAGAATAATATTTATTTTAAAAATGACAATTTTTATGATATTTGAAACTTTATTGGATTATTATACCGGAAATTTCATATACACGCAATATATGAATGACTTTTCGTTCAATAAAAATATGCCACAATCTAACGCTGAATAACAATTAAAACTGGAACTAACACTAGATCTAGAAACATTCAGATTTAGCAGCACGTCTCTCAAGACGGCTAAACCCGAATGATTCTACTTCTAGGTCTTGTGTTAGTTCTAGTGATAGTGCTAGTGATATTTATTCCATCAATTACCATCACAAAGTCAACTTAAGAAATATAGAAATTTTGACGTTTTGAACAATTTTCTTTTATAACTCATTAATTATATCTGATGGAAAATAACTTTTCATACAAAAAATATTTAGAATGAGTCCATAAAACATATCCAATAAGTTATATTATTTCATCGATCAGTAGTACCCATCTCAAAAATAAAATCAAATTTTGATGTTTTTGATCATTTTCGGTTATAACTTATTAATTGTGCGTGATGGAGAATTATTATTTAAACAAAAAATGTTTAGAATCAACTCATAAGACGTATTCACTAAAGATATTTATTTCATCAATCGGCATTACCAACCCAACTTAAGAAAAATAGAAATTTTGACGTTTTCAACAATTTTCTTTTATAACTAATTAATATCTGATGGAAAAGAACTTTTCATACAAAAAATATTTAGAATTAATCCATAAAACATATCCAGTAAGTTATATTATTCCATCAATCAGTAGTACCAACCCAACTCAAAAATAAAATCAAATTTTGATGTTTTTGATCATTTTCGGTTATAACTTATTAATTGTGCATAATAGAGAATTATTTTTTAAACAAAAAATGTTTAGAATTAACTCATAAGACGTATTCACTAAAGATATTTATTCTATCAATCGGCATTACCAACCCAACTTAAGAAAAATAGAAATTTTGACGTTTTCAACAATTTTCTTTTATAACTCATTAATATCTGATGGAAAAGAACTTTTCATACAAAAAATATTTAGAATGAATCCATAAAACATATCCAATAAGTTATTTTATTCCATCGATCAGTAGTACCAACCCAACTCAAAAATAAAACCAAATTTTGATGTTTTTGATCATTTTCGGTTATAACTTATTAATTGTGCATGATGGAGAATTATTTTTTAAACAAAAAATGTTTAGAATTAACTCTTAAGACGTATTCACTAAAGATATGTATTCCATCAATCGGCATTACCAACCCAACTTAAAAAAAAATAGAAATTTTGACGTTTTCAACAATTTTCTTTTATAACTCATTAATTATATCTGATGGAAAATAACTTTTCATACAAAAATATTTAGAATGAATCCATGAAACATATCCAATAAGTTATTTTATTCCATCGATCAGTAGTACCAACCCAACACAAAAATAAAACCAAATTTTGATGTTTTTGATCATTTTCGGTTATACCTTATTAATTGTGCATGATGGAGAATTATTTTTTAAACAAAAAGTGTTTAAAATTGACTCATAACACGTATTCAGTAAAGATGTTTATTAGGTCTAGTACTATATCACGAAAAGATAGTTTAATATAAAATATACCTAAAGTTAATTAATATATTCAAATCCGATTAAATTCGAAAATTCTGCTATTGCATAAACAGGATACAATTTTTATTGATTTCATATTTCAATGTGTTAAAAACGAATAGTTAACCTTTGACCTATTATTTATAATACGGACGAAATTCGCACGTTATTCAGCGCGTCGGAAGGGTAGATAAAACGTTATGTGAGAACTGATTTCACGTTAATCGGGTTAACTTAACGGGGCGCACCGTTCGGGGTGGTTATGAGATCCCATTTACCATATAGCTTTACTAGACATGATTTTCCATCGGGTAATTACACTCTAGGGAGCCAACATGGAAAATGAGCGCCTTAAACCGGCGCCTTCGCCAATATTCGTAAACGTTCATTATAGTTTAGAAAACAACTAATAATGATATTGCTTTTAATTTCAATTTTTATAATGGATTTTGTTTTTAAATAAATAAAAGTCTAATCGTAAAGGTTGTTGTTGAGTTCTGTTAAAGTTGCCTTGAAAGTTCCTTTCAATTTTATCAATTATAAGGAGACTTTAACGTTTTTTTAAAAAAAATCTAAAAATATGTAAATTCTCTTATCACAAAAACTTCAGAATCCCTTTTCAGTTGAGTTGATTAATCAAAACCATTCCATATAAAAAAAAGGCTTTACTCGGAGCCGTCAATTCCACGATCGACGGCAAACTCGTGACGATCCCGGAAAAGGGGGACGGACGTGCGCCCTACAACCCCTACCGTCGTCGTATCCCCCGCCTAAACCATTGGTTTTCTCCCCTTACCCCTCTAACCTGTTGAAACCCCGGCCGAGACGGCGAGGCGCCACAGTCTCAAGCGACAAACCGACCAAATATCTATATTGAAATGTCCTTTTTTATTAATAAATATTTTGGGGAGTGAAATAATTACATGAAAAAGACCTTTTCTTAATGTTTATTAGTGTTATAAACTTATAGTATTCATTTTAAATCAATAAAAAATAATGTAAAAAGTAAAAAGTGGATTTGTGATTAAAAATAACAATTAAAATGAAGCTATTTTTGGTGACGTGATTTATTTTTGTACGTCCAAAAATGAAAATGTCTGGTTTTGGACCTGCTAGTTGCTGGTTAACCCATAAAAGACTTGAATCTTGGGCTCGTGCTGCCAGGGAAAAAGCCATGGGGGGTACTTCACCGAAAAATAATAATTCTAGCGATAATGGAAGTAATAGTAATAGTAGTAATAACAGTTTAGAGGTAATTATATCATTTTTTTTGTTTAAATAAGTTTCTTTTTTTTATTTTTTTTTTGTAATCGCATGCGAAATTAAAAATAAATAAAACATTTCACTTGTAAATATTTACGTTAATTTTTGCGTGCAACTTTGACGTCACAGTGGAGGGTTTCCAGGGGGACGAAACCGGTCGATATGTCGTGGTACTCAGGATCTCGTAGCGTAACAGGCGGTACTCAGAATATTTCCATCGGAAACTGCCCCACAACACCGAACAATTCCGATTATCTATCGGACAAAATTGCCTGCCTTTCAATTATTACCTAATTGATTCTAATTTGATGGACACATTTCCTACCGATCGATTTTTAACACACACTTTTTTTTTCTTTTTTGAAAATCAATTCTTTTCCAACAAAATAATTAATAATCCGGGTAAATTTGTAAGTTATAAGAGTGAATAAACAAGGGAAGTAGTTTAAAGAAGGAAATGGAAATTGACTTTGAACGTTGGTTTAACGTGAGAGTGAATTATTATTCGCGTTTGTAGTTCAATGTTACTCTCGCTGCCTGTTGAAAACGCGGCCGAGACCATGAAAATTTTAACAAGTTTCTTCTTTCAACATAAATTCTTTAAATATAAATTATTTAAAAACGAAAATGTTCTAGTTTTAGAAACAATTTTATTTAAATTTTATTAATTTGATATATTGATGAAAAAGACGATTCTAATATTATGCACTATTAAATCATTTTGAGTTGTAACTAATATGTTGTCAACAATTTTTCAATTTTTTGAATCCCTGTTATAAAGGAATTTATAGAAATCAGTTATTGCTCTAGTTAGTGTAATGGGGTTGCTTATAAGAGATATTTTTATGTTTTGTTAGGACATATAAGTTGTTATGAGCAATTTGTAGAATATCATTCTCAACTACTTCAATAACATTGTATCAAATCACTTTTCAATCCAATACTTTTACCTTCGAATTGAGAGTTTTAACCCCAGTTCATACAATGCATCATTCCAAAACTATTAATTGAATTAGTCAAACCTAACCATGAGTTCACATTTGTGTATTAAACTAACACTTCTGAAGAACCTTATCCGTGAATTTTTCTTTTTCTTCCTCCCAAGGTAGTATTGATTTGTCCTTGAATGTATACACGTAGGAATAATACACATATTCCATTTCCGCATCGGATTATTCCCATATCGTGCGTGATCATATCCATTCCACGCATAATTGGGTTCAAACGATGATATTTAAGCTTTGAATTTGGTCGCATAGCATTCTTAACATTTTTTAAATATGCATTTTAGGCAAAAATCTTTTCATCAATATAATACTATGTTCAGAAATACAACTTCCTAACCATTACACAAATCAGGAATTCGATGTTCTTTATAATTTTACTGGTGTCTGTGTATTGTAACGGAATGGATCACTGTAGTTGTTATTGATCTAGTGTTCAATAGTGGAGTAAAAGTTCTGCATATTTTTAATCATTATCTGGTTCAGGCTAACATTAATAATATTTTTTTGGTTATTTCTTTCCATCTTAATTTTAATTAGTATTAAAAGAAAACTAGGTGTATTTTAAAGATGGATGTTTTATTGTCGGCTCTACCGGTTTCGATTGTTAAACTTCAATCATCTTCAGGAGTTTTTTTTCTTCTGTTGCTGATACAATAAATGTTTAATTAAGTTAACAGTAACAACAGCAAAATAAGATATACGTAGAAATTCAAATAAGGAAAATAACACTAAAAATAATAAACAAATTATGTTTTTGAAAATATGTTTTAATGACGTGGCTAGCTCCTGAAGATGATTGAAATTTAATAATCGAAACCGGTAGAGCCGACAATAAAAAATCCATCTTTAAAATACACATAGTTTTCTTTTAATACTAATTAACATTAATAAAGCATTGAAAAGATGTAAAAAGTTCTGCTTTCCTTATTTGATATATATGCTTTATTCTATGTGATTCGTAGGAGTAAAGAACCCTGGATTACCATGACAGAATTGGATATGTTCTCTACTCTAGATATGATTTTGAATTAACATTAAGTAATTCTTCTTTATCGTGGGGTTGGAGATCCATCTTCTGTAGTTGCCCTCTCCCCAAGACCCTTGAACTGCTGCGTAGTCTTCCCTCATCTGATCGCAATCTGAGTCAATGTCTCTTCCCATGTTGTTCTCGGTCTCCCTATGGGTCTAATGCCCTGCGCTTTCGTTTCCATTTACATCCGTGGTTTCCTCACCTGTCCCATTAAGTAATTATTAAGTAAGATTGCACATATTGATATGCTGATGTTGCTGATTAAAAAGTATACAAGGTGGTCCATTTAACGTGAGACAAGCGATTATCTCGGAAATGGTTAATTTTTATGTAAAATGAACCAAATGAAAGTTGTTTTGTGTGAAGGGGGAAACCATATGACGATAACATTTTTTGACCTTGACTTTATTTTCAAGGTTATATGAAGGTCACGACCAATTTTTTAAACGGCACCCTATATATTTTATTGTAAAATCTGAATCTGTGGATAAAAGAGGTCTAAAACGTTCCGACATTTTTCCGCCTTTGTCAATTTGATAATAGAATAACGCATAAAAAACAACTGAAGAACTGCTTATGTCGGCATTTTCAGAATATCGCTTTCAGAGACTGAATTGGTTGAATTGTTTTAAAATGTAACAGGTAAAACTAAATTTGCATCAAAACTGCTTGGCAACAAATTCTGAATTCATTCCATCGTTTTACATTAAGGCAAACTATTTAAAATAAGTCATTAAATCATGGATACTCTAAGTATGGCAGAAAAAGTCGAAATGATTTTTATTTATGGAGAAAGTGGCAGAAAAGTTGCTGATAGTGTAGCTTTGTATCGAGAACGTTTTCCTGATCGAAATACGCCTTCGAGAAGTACCCTTTACAGAGTTGTGAATGATTTGACTAACACTGGAAATGTGGAATCAAGAAAAAGAACTCGGCGTGCAACTGTAACTACGGAAGAAAAGGAAATTGCGGTATTAGCTAGCGTTGAGGTAAATCCTCAAGTTAGCATTTTAAGAATATTAAAGCGCAACAAGTATCACCCATACCAATTTCATTCCATCAACAGCTTTATGGAGGTGATTTTGAAAATCGACTAACATTTTGTCAATGGTTACAAGAACGATTGCGGTTGGACGTCAATTTCTTTGGTAACGAACGCGCTATTCTCGGGTGAGTCTTCTTTTAAAAACAAAGGACAAGTCAATAGACATAACATGCATTATTGGAGCCTTGAAAATCCGAGATGGTTGCGTGAAGTAGAACCGAAAGTACCGAGAAGTATCGAAATTTTTCATCTTACCAACATTACTTGTAGATTTGAGCAGGGAACAAAGACAAAATATGTGGCTGCAAAATGATGGGTGTCCAGCACATTTTTCACATATTGAACGCGAAGCTTTAGATCGGGATTATGCTGGGCGATGGATTGGAAGGGGAGCTCCAATTTCTTGCTCTGTCAGATCACCTGATTACACGCCTCTTGATTTTTTTTTGTGGGGCGTCCTTAAGGATAATGTTAACTACGCCAGAAAACATGAAAGAGCGGATAAGAAATGTATGCAGAAATAGTAGTCAAGAAAACCTTTTAAGATGTAAAGAAAGTTTTAGTAGAAGGATTAATAAATGTATTGAAGTGGGTGGGGAAATATTTGAACATTTATTATAAATTTTATACTTGTTGTTGATTAATAGTATCTATAGTTTCGCCGTCGTATTGGCAAAACCACACGGTATTTCTTTTTATCATTTTGCTTTTATCCATAGATTCAGATTTTGCAAAGATTTTGATTCATTTTTATGTAAAATGAACCGTTTTCGAGATAATCGCTTGTCTCTCGTTGTTAAATGGACCACCTTGTATAAGAGCTTTTATTGTTAACTAAAAGTTTACAATTTTCTGTACAATGACAAATCAAACTTAACTTCCCTTATCATCCATTCCCAGCTTTCTCCTCCCTCTTCCAGAATCTAGCACCGGTTTCTTTGATCTTTTCTCAGCTCACTACATCTCCTTAACATATGTTCTAGCATCTCCCAACCCTCTCCACTTCATCCGCCTAGTACCTGTTCATTCTCTCCATTACCATACCGAAAGCGGGCCAGCAACCTCTTCCCTCCTTCACCAAGTATTTTCGAAGCCCTTCCGTCATAATGTCCTCATATCTTTCATTGTACGTTCCCTACCTTATCTGCGTCCTTATCTCCTGTCTCTCCCCACTCTGTTACGATTAAAATCATTGAATCAGGGTGTTCGACCTTAGATAAAACCACAGTTTTGCTCTGTAATAGTTGTTGTGGTAGCCGTCCATAAAAGAGCATAGATTAAAATTAGCATATCTTGGGAATGATTCTTATTCATAATCTCGCACTCAGTCTGATAACGCACGTTATTATTTGGTAGTCTGGATAGTAGTTATTAAGTCTGCTTTAGAAATAGGGGCATAAATAGGCCTCTCTTTCACTTTCTTTTCGTTCGGCAACTCGGACTCAACAAGCTATTGGTAGCGTGCACATTTGCTACAACAGGGTGATATCGCTCATAGGTAACGGGTTTCTTAAACACCAAGAGATATTGTTATAGTGTTTATAGTGTACCGGGTATTTTGCAACATCTTTATCATTTTCCTTGTTTGGTCAGTTATCCTGAATGTCTCTCCACCTTTAGCCATATTTTTTCGACATCACTTGTAGTAGGTCTGGAGTGCATGTCTTGCATCTGCACTCTGAATAAGCGGTCTAAGAAACCTTTCTCACCGACATGTTTGATTTAGTAATACATTTGTAGGCATACTCGCCTCCAGCAAAGTCATCTGATTTAACTCTCGATCTGACCATCTCTGCTCGTCTTCTCCTGATCTCATGAGATCCTCTTGAGACTTCAACCAGTATTTATCCGCCTTAATTATGCGTTTAATATTGTTTTCGGCTTTAAGTGTTGCTGATCATACATATGGCCTCGACAAATGCACGACATCTTATTCGGTTTTCACTTCCAGCCATGATCTTCCTGTTGCCTTTATCTCTTTCATAGTGGATCTTCGCTACATTATCCTGGGCACATTATCCCTCTTGTGCCTTGTGGGTTCCAGTCCAATGCTGCCTTCGCAATATTTTCGGATTCCTTTCGCAGCGCGTGCCTAATCCAGTTCTATTTCCTCTGACGGATTTCTTGACTGACAATGAGTTAGGTTGCTTTGAGAGTCTCCACATATTCTCATTTCTTATTCGGTCTGACCATTTGATTTTTGCCTCCTAGATAAGTGAACTCCGGAACATCTTCTATTTGTGTATTGTCTATTGTGAACCTTCGTTGGTTGTTGCTGTTGATTCTTAGCGGCTTTGGTTTTTGAAATATTTATCTTGAGCCCCGCTATCTTAGTCTGTTCACTCAGTTTTTCTAGGCACGCTTACATATCACTGAAAGTATGCGCTACTAGACATATGTCATCTGCATAATCTAGGTCTTATTCATGATCCAGTCTAGTGCTATGTTAAAGAGTAATGGGAACAGGGGGCATCCTTGTTTCACGCATTTGAGTACTGGAAATATTTTTTTAAAAGTACCATATCCAATGTTTGAAGCTTAAAAGTATAGAATCATGATCTGATACATTCCCAGTACTCCCAGAGGATAAATTGGTAATGAAATAGAAATCTTTTTATACAACATCATATGTCAAATTACATTTTAATTGTTCAAAAACAAGATAAATCAAACTTTAATTACCTTGACCCATTTATCCCTCGAAATGTAAATAATCCCGCATTATCTAGGTAAATAAATTCAAAACAACAAACATCGATTCCCAATGGGAAACCGAAGGACGAATTCGAGAACAATTTAATCGGATATTGATTGCAATTGCGCACTCGATTTACGCTTAGAAATTATAAAAAGAAATTTTCGTATCACGTTCAATTTTCATGGCATTGAATAACTTTTCAACAATTTTAATCTCATACGATTTATTTAGATTTTACGTATCATTTTTTGTTTCAGGATTTTAATCCGTCTTTTAACATGACCAGGGAACAACAAATAATTCAGCCGCCTCAAAACCCATCCGGTCAATCAATGACCGCGGAGCTCTTTAAAAATCCTTTGGAAGTGTGTTCAAACACCACGTCCATACCAAATTTGCAGCACCAATCGAAAAGTTATCCCGGCGGGCAACCACAACTATGCCGAACACCAAGTGTTTCTTCGCAAAGCAGCTTAGATAGTGGGGTATCTAGACAGGTTTTTTTCTTATCCATTCTTTTATCATAAATGAAATACCTTTTTTATTTCTTTTAGGGTCACCGTGGATCTTCACCTCAAATAAGAACTTTCGCACCCGATGGTAGAACCACCTCTTTACATCAAGAGGCGACGCATTCAAGTAGTTATCCTTTGAGAAACGCGAGTAGATCTCCCTCTCCATTAAGAGCGGCTTCTTTAGATATGAGGTGTTCTTCTCCGAGCGCTTCGATCGTTATGGAGCAATTTAGAACGCCTTCACCTTCGCAATCAAGTTTGACTTCGTTAACTGGTGGGTCGGCAAGTTCCACTTGTAATTCTCCAGCTCCAGCTTCACCAAGAACTACTGGGTTAGGAAGATGTTTGTCACCACTTCATATTCCATCAAGGTAAATATTTTGCTTTAATACAATTAATTTAGACACTAAAAATTTTTAGAGGACATACTCCTGATGTAACAGTTCCCATTCCTCCAGCGAGTCCTTTAGGTGCAATTCAACCCGATTTGTATACAAGAAAAGATGGTCCTTTATTTATTGGGGGAAGTCCTAAATTTGGGCCAAGTTTAGGAAGGTTACATTTCCGTTTAAAGTATGATTTCGATCGTAGCGATTTAGTCGTACATTTAATTGAAGGTAATTCAACAAAAAATTTTTAGCAAAAATGTATTAACTTATTTTTTAAATATAATAAACAGCTCATGATTTGGCAAGTAGTGATCAAGGTGGATTTAACGATCCCTACGTTCGTATTTCAATGAATCCCGAAGTTGATTCAAGAAAACGACAAACGACTATTCACAGAGATGACCCAAATCCGTTTTTTGACCAAAACTTTAAATTTCCCGTTTCGCACGATGACCTACAATCGAGAACCTTAATACTCCAAGTTTTCGATTACGATCGATTCTCGAGAAACGACATAATCGGAGAAGTTCGAATGAGCATGGACGAATTTGATGTTACATCGACAATTGAAGTTTGGGGCGAAATTACGAAAAATAAAAAACCGAAAGAAGAAACTCAAGAGGTTTTGTTATCGCTAAGCTATTTACCTTCAGCCGAAAGATTAACCGTAATTTTAATGAAAGCGAGGAATTTGTTTATGCCTAAAGATAAGGAATCAATTGGTGATATGCAAAAATTAAAATTTGTTTTTATTTATTTGTTTTTTAATAAATTTTAGATCCATATGTTAAAGTGCATTTGGTTGTAAATGGGAAAAGGATTAAAAAGAAAAAAACCGCTCCAAAAAAATCAAACCGTGATCCAGTTTGGAATGAAGCCATGACCTTTAGTCTTTCATCGACAAATTTACAAAACGCCGCAGTTGAAGTGAGTAATTAAACTAATTAAAACATCCCCACCTAGATGTCATAAAAAGAACTTTTATTACATACGAATAAAATGTAATTAACACGTGAATTACGACTTGAATAGGGATAATTAAAAAAAAGGGTTGGAAAAAAAGTTTTTTAAATCGCAATTTCAATGTTTTATTGGAATTTTTCTTGATCGAATTGGTTCTTAGAGTAAGTCATAACAAACTGCGAACTCTAAGGACGGAATTATATCGGTGTTGGAATCTCCAATCTAACTTCGAGGTTGAGATGTAATATTTTCTTTTTAGAAATTTTTACAGCGTTGATTAACCTTTTGACCAATAGAGAAATCGACATTTTTTCTATCGATCAACGCGATAAATATTTCTGCAACGATGTGGTGTGCTGACGGAGCTTTTTTGCAAGGATGATTTCGCGGCTTTTGTATCTGGAACAAGATTATGTTTTGTATATTTTTAATTTATTCCCAATGGCACATCTGAGTAGATCAGTTTATACTAGTGGTGGAACGGATATCCGGCAATTTTTTAAAATCCGGCCGGATACAGGATAGTTACCAAATATCCGGCTTTGGCCGAATATTAAAAATCTATTACTTAGTACTTCCCCATTCACAGAAATTAGTATCTCTTTTAGAAGAAATTTGTGTTGGACAGTGCAAATAATAAACAAGTTCAAACCCAATAGGACTTTTTTCATTGAATACAACTTTATTTATCATTAACAACCTCATTGTAACAATCCCAATACGATATATAAGATTCCAATATCTCCCAATTGATGTTCTTGTGCACTTGGACACTTTTGGAGGTCTTGTAAGTATTTTTTGGTTGTTTTAGCAATGTGTTCTGTTATCGTCTCGACTCCTAGCTCTTCATGTATCTGCGAGTTTCGCACAAACCATGGGACATCTACAGACATTCTTAGAATTTTATTTTGTAGCACTTAAATTTTCACAATTTGCACATTCGATCTTCAGTTTCGATTTTCTGTTGATGATGGGATAAAGTTCTTTCAGTCTTGCATATGCTTCGTTTAATTTTTTATTAATGTGGTAGCTCCATGTAAGTCTTTGGTTCAAATATACTCCCATATATTATATAGCTCTATCTTTTGGATTCCAGTTTAAAGGGTGATCTTCGATTATTATTGTTGTAGGATTTTTCACTTGTTTAAGGGTAAATATTTTGGCCTCACATTTACTTAGATTTAAGTGAAAGCACCAAGTTAATAACCATTTATGTATCTCATTAACCGGATTTTTCCAGATTTTCGTTTTGGGTGATTATAACCATGTCATCTGCGAATAAGGCTTTTTGGTCTTTTTTATTAATCGGAATGTCATGTAAACAGATATTAAATAGCAGAGGTGAGAGAATGCTACCTTGAGGAACTCCAGCTTTGATGGGTTTTGATTCGGATTTATAAGCATTAACTCTGACATAAAATGTTCTATCATCCAGAAATGAGAAAATTAGGGCTTTGAGGTATTCAGGTATATTAGTTTTAAGTATCTTATATTTTATGCCATATAGCCATACTGAATCAAAGGCTTTTGTTATGTCTAGAAAGGCAGCTGTTGTATACAGTTTATTTTCATATCCTCGCTCTATTATTTCCGTCACTCTGGTGAGTTGATGTACTGTTGAGTAACCAATTTTAAATCCGTATTGAATATTAGGTATGATTGTGATTTTAGATCGTAAAATAGGTCTGTAATTTTCGATTTCACGTTTATTTTTGCCAGATTTCCTAAACATTCATATTTCAGCTTCTTTCCAGGTGTTAGGAAAGTATCCCAGATTCATGCAAATGTTAAAAATGGAAGTTAACAATATTTGAAGTTTTGATAAAATTTTCGATGTTGCAATTTTCAACGATAACTTTCAAAATTCGCTATAAAATTAATTTCTTGAGGTGTCCTTGTGGAAATATCACCAATTATTAATTATAATGTCCTCTTTTTAATGCAAAAAGCCGTTTTGAAAAATCACTTTCAGTTCTTGAGAAATAAATTTTTGAAATGATCGACAATTTTTTCGAATTTTGCAATTTTCGCCGATTAAGTTTTAAAAATTCGTATAAAATCCATTTCTTGGAATATGAGTATGAAAATTTCCCAAAGTGTTAATAAAAGTGTCCTCTTTCCAATGAACCAACCCGTTTTGAAAAATAACTTTTAGTTTTTGAGAAAACAATATTTGAAGTTTTGATAAAATTTTCGATGTTGCAATTTTCATCGATAATTTTCAAAATTCGCTATAAAATTAATTTCTTGAAGGATCCTTGTGGAAATATCACCAATTATTAATTAAAGTATCCTCTTTTTAATGCAAAAAGCCGTTTTGAAAAATCACTTTTAGTTCTTGAGAAATAAATTTTTGAAATAATCGACAATTTTTTCGAATTTTGCAATTTTCGCCGATTAAGTTTTAAAAATTCGTATAAAATCCATTTCTTGGAATATGAGTATGAAAATTTCCCAAAGTGTTAATAAAAGTGTCCTCTTTCCAATGAACCAACCCGTTTTGAAAAATAACTTTTAGTTTTTGAGAAAACAATATTTGAAGTTTTGATAAAATTTTCGATGTTGCAATTTTCATCGATAACTTTCAAAATTCGCTATAAAATTCATTTCTTGAAGGATCCTTGTGGAAATATCACCAATTATTAATTAAAGTATCCTCTTTTTAATGCAACAAGCCGTTTTGAAGAATCACTTTTAGTTCTTGAGAAATAAATTTTTGAAATAATGGAATCGAATTTTGCAATTTTCGCCGATTAAGTTTTAAAAATTCGTATAAAATCAAGTTCTTGGAATATGAGTATGAAAATTTTCCAAAGTGTTAATAAAAGTGTCTTCTTTCCAATGAACCAACCCATTTTGAAAAATTGCTTTTAGTTTTTAAGAAAACAATTTTGATAAAATTTTCGATGTTGCAATTTTCATCGATAACTTTCAAAATTCGTTATAAAATTTATTTCTTGAAGGATTCTTGTGGAAATATCACTAATTATTAATTAAAGTATCCTCTTTTTAATGCAACAAGCCGTTTTGAAGAATCACTTTTAGTTCTTGAGAAATAAATGTTTGAAATGATCGACATTTTTTTCGAATATAGCAATCTTCGCCGATTAAGTTTTAAAAATTCGTATAAAATCCAATTCTTGGAATATGAGTATAAAAATTTCCCAAAGTCTTAATAAAAGTGTCTTCTTTCCAATGAACCAACACGTTTTGAAAAATACCTTTTAGTTTTTGAGAAAACAATATTTGAAGTTTTGAGAAAATTTTCGATGTTGCAATTTTCATCGATATCTTTCAAAATTCGCTATAAAATTCATTTCTTGAGGGATCCTTGTGGAAATATCGCCAATTATTAATGAAAGTATCCTGTTTTTAGAGTTGTTTCGTTAGTTAAATCAGTATCAAAAAAGTTCATTTTGTATCTTGGATCCAAATAAGTTGACATATCTTATCACTAGACCTCGGATTTTTATGAAGTCAAATGATGGGAAATATGCGCATAAATATGCAAGCTTTTTATCCGAAATATGCAAAAATACACCTTTCTTATAGTTGTTATCAATCTATATCTATCACATTTTTGTATATGTCTTGCAGTTTTCACATGTTGTTCTATTTGGAACTTCCTCTCACACGTTATCTTAAAAAAGAATAATTAAAAAAGTTAGCCATAGATACTATAACAGATTAAAAATTTAAATCTGAGACTATAAAACAGATTCGTATTTTTCATTGTCGATTGTCTAGAAACATATGTGAAAACATATCCCCAGATACTGGGACAGCAAATTTAATATAGTTTTAATTTAACATTTTTCCATTTTCTTTAACTCCTAGTGTAAAAGTCTATGAGAAATACAATTTCGTTGTCATCAAACCATTGGCAACTCCGCTGAAAACTTTAATTTTTAACTTAAATCTTTGGCACAAGCTTTACAAAATAATTCCTCATTATTTAAATTTAGTTCGGGATAACTTTTTATCCACTGGGACACAAGACACGATTTCACTGTAGACATTGTTGTTATAGATTGGTAGATTAATGTTTACTCACACTGAACGCAGCCACAGTAACTATGGTTGGGGATTTCCTTAAACTTAAACTCAACAGCGCTAGGGATTCCCCGCATGTTTCTGTGAATCGTTCTAAATAAGAAACCAACCCGCAATCAAAAAATATCCTGTATTGTGCTTTAAACTAAAAGGTATGTTCGCATATTTAAAAATCACGCAGTCATTATATTTATTTTATTAAGCAACAAGAAACAAATCTAGTAAAATAACAAAATATGCGAATATATGTAGTAAAAGGCCAACTAAAAAATTGTAAAAATATGCGAAATATGCAATTTTGTATATAGGGTATCACTTCAGAAATGCACCAGAAATTATAACCATAGAAATGCCGGATATCCGGCCGAAGGGGATGCCTAATATCCGGTTTTTACTAGTTTATACCCTTTGTTCTTATATCTTATCATTTCCAAGTTTTGCATCAGTTTTCTATAAAACCTGTTTGGTTTTCATCAGCTTGAATGAAGAGCATGTCTTCACTGACAAAACATTCAAAGCTGTCCTTTTTTGTATGTACCAGTAAAGTTGCGTGAAACCAAGTAGGTCTTCAAGAGCAGCTGTTGGCAAGATCTCATTGCACCCATTATATTAAGGCGCATGCAAGCCACTGGATTTATGTCGGCTGTCTTGTGATTTGCTTTCAGCTACCAAACTAATGAAGCATAGCCATTCGTGGTTTAAGACCTCAATTCCTTCCTAGGAGATACTCTACATTTGGAATTACAGTGTTATGACATCCTGGTGGACTCAGTGCATAATCAAAGAAGTTTCAAAAATTTAGTTTTGAGCTTCAACATTTTGAATAAAACTTATTATTTTTATGAATTTTTTGTTTGTTTAAGGTTTGCATATTTGACCAAACCAACGATTTAATATCAAATAATCCAGCATTATTGGGTTGTTGTGTAATTGGACCTAAAGAAACGGGTCCAGAACGAGATCATTGGATAGATATGACTCAAAATAGAAAATCAGTTGCTTGTTGGCACACATTGCGGTAAGTTAATTAAAAGTTGGGAAACTGCTCAAGAAATATAACAAAAATTCAAAAAACGAAAATGAAAGGCAAAAAAAATTGAATCAAAAGAGGTTTCTTATAAAGGAGAAACATGATTGTGCTTTACGCTTAAAAATAAATGTGCTAGATTATTTTTTGGCTTAAAAGAAAAAAAAATTTCGACTTCATAAATAAAAAAAAAAAATTAAATAAACATCCAAACGGCCTTGAAGAAATTCTTTATCAAAACCATCTATTCACTTAAATAATAATTACTTTTGAGCCTAAAAAAACGTTGTTACTAATAATCATTCTTATGTCTGAAATAATCGAATTTATCGTTAAAAAAAGATAAATGTTGCTCTATATATATTTAATGAAATATGCCTATTATCTCTTCATCTATATTCGATGTTATACGAATTTATATGCCACTTGAAAAAACTTTTAAACGTAAAAAAATAAAATTGATTAGTGTAATAGGTGTTTATTAAAAATTAAAAACAATGATGAAAAAGCTTATGATGTGTGTCCTTTGACGTATTGTAGACAATCATTGATTTCTCTTCAATTAATGAAAAACATTGCGCTAATTTATTAAAATGATAACGTTTGTACTCTGCCTCTTTTTAAAACGACTTTTTGGTAAACAATTTAAGGAACAAAGAAAATTTCGAAACGCTTACATTTTAAATCAGGGATGTTTCTTATTGTGTATTTTATTATTATAAATAAAAAAGACAATTATATCATATCGCGCGGCGTCCCTTTTAAACAAGGAGATTAAAACTTATGACTAAAATATATTATATTGCATTATTGTAACATATACACAAAAATATATTTAAAAAATACTATATATTATTGATGAAATTATGTTTTTTTTTGAAATCGATAAACATAAGTTTATCTATATTTTATGAGATATAAAAAAAATTGTAGATTTTGAAGGTAGAATAAATAAAAATGTGTATTATTCGTGTAATCAAAATTACAATAAAATAACAATGAAGTATTCAAAGAAAAAGTACAAGTTTTTGATTTGAAATTAAAAAGATGTTAAGGCCACAACATATTTCATTGTTATTTTCACTATTAAGGTAACTTAAAAAAACTAAAAACGTTGTTTGATGTTACTTGTTAATTAATTGATAAATAATTAACGTTTTAATTTCTTCAAAATGTTTACATATCACTCTCAAAAATTTATAAACAAAAAGGAGGGGGATAAATTACAAAGTTACGATGACGAATTATTTATTTTTTATAAAAACACAACAAAAAATAATTATTAAAAACTAATTTTTTTTCAATTTTATTAACGAAATATTTTTCCCAAAAAAATTTTAACATTAATTTCCTTTTAACTATAAAAACTAAACGAATTTTACTAATTTGGCTGTGAGCAAAAAGGAAGACAATTGAAATAAAACAGGTTTAAAATGTGTAAAAAGCAGTATTCCATCAAAAAAAAAGTATTATTTAGTGTAATCGTAAATGTATAAATGTTAAACCAAGTGGAAGAACATCTTTAAATAAAAAGGATTTGAAGTGTTATTCCATAACAAACAAAAATGTGGCTCTAAATGTTATTACTGTACGTCATTTAATTTTTAAGTACAAAAAATATGTCCCAAATGTTCCTTATGTAAACGAAAAAAAAAAAACATTTTATCCACATACAGTAAAACCTTGCAAAACTATTTTCATAGATAAACACGGGGTATTCCCCGAGTTGTCTATATGATGTATAAATCAAGATGGTTCTACTTTTAATTGTTATTCAGAGCTAGATTGTTGTATATTTTTATTGACATAAAACTAGACTTGTCTTAAGACGCTTAAACCGGAATGTTTCTAGTTCTAGTATTACTTTTAGCAGTTATTCAGCACTTGATTTTTGTATACAGGGTGTCTCACGTAACTGGTTCGTTAGGACTTTTTCAGGTTCCACTATTCGTAGAGATTTGAAATTTTGGTTGTTCATTCGGAACTTTCGATCTAAAATATTTTCAAGATAGCCGCCACTTCCGGTCTACCCAATTGTACGTAGAAAAATAGGTTGACTTTGATAAAAGTTATTGGTACTTAGCATTTTTTTCGAGTTATTTTGGTTTTAAGCTTTTTTTGGTAAATTTCAACATGCTCTTTAAAACTCCATATCTCAGCCAACGTTCATTCAAAAAAGATCTACGTTAGCACGATTACTCTTCAAATGTTGTCAAATAGATTGTCATTTGTTGTATCGGAGTATCTTATACAGGCTGGTCAAAAATTGAATTACTGTTTCTCCATATTCAATGGCAAGGAAATCGCAAATTTTAAATGGAACGCCCCATATTTTTTTAGTCTATTAGAAAGAGAATTTAATTCTTTACAAATTATCTATAAACATTCCTATACCTATTTATTGTAGTTTGCTTCATATTGCGAAATTTATTAAAACATGCAAGAAATGCAGGTTTTTTTTATTAGAAAGCTATGGAATTTCGACAGTTTTTCTAGTTTTAATTGTTAATCAGCGATAGATTGTAACAAATTTTTATTGAACTAAAAGTAGAACTAAGACTAGACCTAGAACCATTCGGGTTTGTTGCAAAAATTAATTCACCTCTAGAAAATTCTCCCCAAAAATTCGGCCAAAATCATCTTTAGACTATTTAGAGAGGATAAAAATTGTTTTGAAGTTTTTTGAAAGAATTTAATAGATAGCAAGAAATAGAAAATGCTAATTGGTGTGTATCAAAAAGGTGCTAAACGATTGGAAACAACTTTAGATCATTGGACAAAGACAAAATAAGTTAATACTATTAAAGGGAGCGTTTTGCAAAAAATTTAAAGACTTTAGAATATGGTCAAATTTGCTTGGTGTGCATCTAAATAGCTTTAATCGGCCTAAAACATCTTTAGAATACTTGGAGAGGATAAAGAAATGTTAAAAAAGTGTTTAGAACCTTTTTGAAAGAATTTAATGGATAGCGAGAAAAAGAAAAAGCTAATTGGTGTGTGTCAAAACGGTACTAATCGATTAGAAACAACTTTAGATCATTTGACAAAGACAAAATAAGTTAATACTCCCTCCTTTCAGAAATAAGTGTTCGATATCGATTTTTGTTGTCCAAAAATAAGTGTACGATTTACTTAAAAATTAATTTATTGAAACTTAACTACAAATATCGTTTGTAAGTAACTTTCGACGGTCATTTAAGTATTTAAACTAAATTGATGATGTCTTTTACATGTTGATAAAGCCCAAAATTAAAATTTATAGAAACTAGAAGTCTACCCATTCTCTGTAAATGATCCTTATTCATATGCCGCACTTTGTAATTATTGCCTCCATCTACTTTCATGGTTTCTACCATATACGGTTGGTGCGAAAGGACCTTATTCAAAGTATCCGAACTTAATTCGGAAAAAGCTTTTTCAACAGCAAGTTTTGCAAGCTGATTGTTGCTGCAATGACTAAATTGCATTAAAAAAGCCTAAATCTAAGATGTTTGTATTGGGAGTATTGGATGGCTGACATATCATTTTGATTTTGAACCCAGTTCTATTTGAAGCTTCATTAAAACTCATTGTCACCAGGAAGAATGTGTGGTTTAGCGTTGTCTTGCTGGATACAAATTGTTTATCGGCCGGATCTTGGCCATTTTGCTTAAATTTCGGGTAACAATTTTCCAATAATCATGTTCTTATACTCTTCTCTAGCGACATTAAAAACCACTTTCGTTTCAAAAGTCCGATTTTTACTGCTCCGTTTAGCAGGTTCCAAAAACACAAAAGCCCAAATGCCAAGTTTTACATCCAAGTTCTTGTTTTCAGAATGATTCCAAGGTGGACGAGCTACAGCGAACATTACTTTTGTGAGAAAACGCTTACTTTTGCAGAGTCTGTGTGGTCCCTCTTCGCCTTCAACTAGGTAATACGTCTCAGCTGTTTTTATGAGGTAAAACCATTTCTCGTGTATGGGAGACCAGGGCACATTCGAACACTTTTGGTCAGCTGCCTCTATTTCATCAAACATGCAAGGTAGCTACTGCCTTTTAGTAATACAACAAAGTATGTTCTATTGCACATGTTACAAAACGTTAAGAGTTTAAAAATAGGCCATATTTTTCCACTTAGTAATATTTATAAAAAAAGTGCACTTTGTCCGAATGGAAAAGCATTTACTCTTGTAGTGCTTGACTTGGTTGTGGCAATTTCAAAATGACATCAGACCTAGGAACCACTGGATATTCGGGAAAACAAAACCTGTATTGCCTTTTTTTCTCAAAGAGCTGACCTCGTATTCATCAGATCGATCATCAACAGCTAGGACTTTGCCAGTGTAATATTTGATGCTTTTTTGTAGGAAACTTAACCAAAATATAATTATCGATCTCAATTATTGTTTCAAACTGTAGTAAGCCTGGCACACCTGTTTCTTCATCTTCTTGGTCCATGTTGTCTAGATGTGATGAATCAGATGAAGATGTCTTGAATTTTCTTTTGCCATTTCTTTTCTTTAGTTACTTTCTTGTCAGTGTTTAATTTTGGCACCACCTTCTTTTCTTCTGATATCTTACTTTTTGTTGGAAAGACTTGTCTTGTAGCATTTTCCTTAGTTTGTTTCATCATTTTCTCCCTTTCAATATCTTCAATTCGTTCTTTGACGATGGTTAACTCCAAGTTCATTGTGTAAATTGATAAATTAAAAAGACAAAAAGAACTAATCTTTTGCTCCACAATGATGTTTATTTTATTTCAATTTTCAATCCGTACTACACGTGTTTCGCTATTTACAATGAATTTTTCATTGAATTTGCAATGAAATAAGAAGGAATAACATAACGAAGGCGCCGAAAGACCAAAAAGAGCAATTCAAAAATCTAAAAAACAATTCAAACTTAAAATATGAGAGCCGAGCACATATTATCACGTTTCGAAACGGTCTAACGTGAGCGTTAAAGAAATTGTAAAGCAACAATTTTTTGTTGCAACTATTTTAGGCGGTGAATTTGCCCTGTCCGAATGTGACTTAGTCTCCCCTACATGAATTCGATCATACATATCGATGAATTCGGGAACTTTTGCATTTAAAATTTTTGATTTAAGCATTGACAAACAATATTTCAGCCTTAAAATTTTATTGGCTTCTGTGAGGAAACGTTTAACTGAATTTGAGTGCCATCGTGATACTCCTAATTTCAGTCTATTAT